TGAAATACAACTTTTACAACCTCCACCTTCCCCTTTCCGCTCTCCTGGATCCGCACCTCGGTGACCACAATTTATTATTATGATTTCCTATTTGAGAGCACCCCAATAATAGATATATTTATTATACTGGTACCTATACTAATTACGAATGAAGGTACCTGTCCTAGATAACCAGGTCAGTACCTAAAATCAATAATGCATAAAAAAAACAAATCAATTAATTTGGAATGAATATGTTTTATCGATAGAACGTTTTGTTTTTAAAAAATAGAATTGGGAACAAAAAGTTCTATCGGTAGAATCTTTTGTTTCCAAACTAGAAATTTTAAAGTTATTTAATATTTTGAGTACTTAAAAGGATTTATTTTTGCACTACCTATTAATAAATTGATTGAACGAAAGTTTGCGGATTTTTTGATGCCAAATATTTCAAAATCGCTTGGGCAAAAATGCGTTATTTTAATTCTTGAATCTTAAAAACGCTCTACTGAACAATTTTGATATTGTCAAATAGAACTCTTTGATTCCAAGCCCGCGAGTTGTTAAAAGTGGTATTCAAGACCAAAAATTGTTCGCCCCTCCTCCCATCCCCCACGGAATTACCTGAAGACGCCCTTGAGTCGTCGTTTAATTCCAATTTTAAATATTATATATTTAGTGGTAGCTGGTGACGAATGGTAACGTGCGTGCTACCAATAATTTGTTACCCTTACCGATGTGAAGCCTTCTTCCTTAGTTACCGGCCTAATTTAATATATATCGTGCATTCCCATTATTAATTTTCATTTCTTGGTATTAATTAGACTAGACATTAAATATTCGTTAGCGTGTAATTGGTTTTTTTCACACGCCATACGATTTCACGCATTAGTTAGTGAAAAAAATGCGATTAAAAACCACACAGGTGACAATTGAATATATTATTATGGTTTTCAGACATTTGCCTTAAAGGGGTTCGCTCGCCGATAATTAGTATAATATATTATTTTATTAACGATCCATTTCCACCTGCAAACGATTTCGGCCATTCAGCACTCGTATATAATATTTCTAAACCGACTCTTGATTAAATATTATTTAAAATATATAGGTAAATAAATGGTACCTAATATAATGCTAGGAAATCGAGACACGTGTATATGATTTGTAAACGTTATTCAATTGATTTACATGGTATGGATGTCGAACCCATATAATATAATATTTTGTACATAATGTTACATTATCACTCATATAATATGTTTATAATATTATTATTATTACTATTACGATTACGATTACACATTGTGACGCCTTGGCACAATAAATCGTGTGATTTAATTATAATTTGTTATAATAATAACATCTATATATTATTATACAGCAACGAAACTGTATTATTGTCATTCGAATATCGTGGCGGAGATTACCGATATACATTGGTACGGATACGGTACGCGGATATCATCTACCCCCGGGCATGCACCAGTAAACACCTGCTCGATTAGCGCGATTAAAATATAGGTAATTAATCGTCGTCGTTCGAAATTTAAATCATTACTACGATCGTGTTTTTTGTTGTCGTGAAAACGTTGTGTTCAACATTTTTTTTAGGCAACCAATTACTACGTTCTTCCCCGACGACGAACATGACGTGGCCCGCAGCGTTCGGTCTCATCGGTCTTACAAACTAATAATATTATTTGTGGTCTTATTTATGTATGGACATATTTTTATCACATAAAAATATTAATTTATATTAAAGAAATATTCGAACGTTTTAATGAAAAAAAAATGTTTAAATCAAGTTTGGAGCTTTATTCAATTGAAGATATTATGTATATACACTATTAATCATATATTCATATAACATGGGCACCTATACTTTTTAAATTTTTTTCTTAGATTAATAATTCTAAATTCTAATTACTTTTTTACTTTGGCCGTTATATATTCGCTAATACTTCTGTTATAATATTATAACATTGGTAACATTTTCAAAATTTGGGGAAAAATGTTCTAAAACTCTTGGAGGAAATGTCAAAATTACGATAATAAAATTAAAAGTAATAACCTTATGTTTAGCGGTAGACACCTATAGGTGTACCTATATGTATACATTGTGTATTTGACATTTGTGTTTGTCGTTTGTGTGTAAACATTACAATTTAAACGTCTTAGGTATAAGTTATATAATTATAATAGAAGAGTCGCTTTGTGCCAGAACAGCTTAACCCACGAAATTTTTAATTTTGATATCGTTTTAAAATATGCCGTTTAAAAATTTCGATTACACAAAGGAACTATTTATGTATAATAAAGGTTTGATCGATATTTTTTTATTTTTTTTATGATAGGAATATATAATTTTTCAGGTGCCTACGTAAAATTGGTATTAAAATATTACATGCGTGTGCACAATCTTACAAAAATAAGCCGCAATAACGCGCACATGGACTCGTTGGAAAGTTTGTACAAGGTTCCAAGCTCTATTGCAATTGTAATCCTAGCCTTGAACTTGGCATTATACAAAGTTTAAAGTTAAATATACAAAAAATGAGTTCTAGAAATCCTCAACAAGTGTCAAACAATGCTCTCATATTGTTGTATATGGTTTTTGTAAGATTGTGTTACATAAACATTACACATGTAATGCCAACTTAACGTATCCGCCCTGCAATTGTATCGGTATTTTAATATAGATGACGAGACTATATCAAACATTTAGTTTGATCGTATATTGAACAATTCGTTGTATGCAATTTTTTATTCAGTAATATTATAAAAATCTCGAAAATCTTATTTCCGTGGGATAGATGTTTGGCTGTTTTTTGCATGCCATTCGATAAATATGTAGAGGAAGTACCTATAAGGTTACATATCAATGTATGATAAATGATAATTATTAATATTATTTACTATCGAAACGATAATAGAACTACGGTACGTAAAATAACGTATTGGACATCCCATATTATGTCGTGGCCCGTAGGTACCAGGTAATAAAACTAATAAAACCGTAAAATGCACAGGTTGGTGTCAAGATAATAAATAATGAGTTTTTTAATCGGGGGATTATAAGAGTCGGAAACCGGATGAGATCCACAACAAAAAATTTATCCGTGGAAATGATAAGAAAAAGTAATGATAATAACACGACAATAACCTATATAACTGTGAAACGTTGGCCCACCCGTACTCGATAGAATATGGACTGTTTCCGAAGGAGACTCGTTCATTGTCTCGTATCTTTATTTCCTATTTCCTGCGTGTTGTAAGTAGGTACATACGCCAAAAACAATTTTTTCCTTGTTCCTGACAATCGCAAACTCGCCATTAGTGCACCGTCGCTCGCTCGCATTACTACATATATGGCATATACCTACCTAAAATATTTAATAGGCATATTTTTTGAAAAGGAATCTATTTTATTATTATATTATATATATAAAAAGGCACGTATTCAAGCAAAATAGTTTCACCGGAAATTATTTCGAAGAATAGGTGGGAACTCGAATCGCCGGAAAAAAAAAGGTTGGGTTTTTTCTTTAGATTTTTTTCTGGGCTTTTTTTCCGCCTACCTTCTTAATCATATAATTACGTGTATAAAAACGTGGTTATGTGTGAAAAAATCATTCGTTGTATCATTTTTGTTTGCGTACAATTGTACAATAGGTACATATAATAAACGCATGTGTTAAAAAGTAAGGTACTTACCCATTTGTCATGTCTATGTTAATAGTCGTAAACGAATTATAGGTACCTATATATAAATATATGAATATACTTGTTACAATAAGTCATTAAAGCTATAAAGCTGTGCACATTTTTAACTTTCAGCAGAAATACAATTTTGAATTTTACATTAATTGTTTTATATTTAACTCTATTATTTATTTAATTAGATATAAAATAAAAAGAATACATGGAGAAAATTAGATTTCGTTAATAGGGCATCTGACATCTGTATAATATGCCACAGATAGTTTTTCGTGATTTAATCGATATCATAATGACGGGTCAAGTTAGTCTTATAAACAAATTAATAAGAACAAAGAGGTGTTTTGTTTTCTGTGAAAAGACATATTTGTGAACACATGTCCCTTTTAATTTTTAAATACTATTTTATTTTTATACTTGTTGGAAATAAAGTGTATAAGAAATAAATCGGTTCTTCAGCGTATAGTCGGGAAAATGATTGAAAACAAAATACTAAACATTAATAAATAATACGAGTATTATTTAAGAGGGCGCTACACATGCATGTGTGTTTCTGTCTTACAAACGTAAAGTTATGAGTATTTTAATATGTATAAACAATTTACAATTCTAAAATACTCATAACTTGCTTCAAAATTAAAATATGTAAAAAAAACCTATTAGGTTCACTAAATAATATTCTTACTACCAAATGTCATCAGAGATCAATTCGCTCTAATTTTTATAATAACAGAGCTAAACGTGATCTGTTAAGCGTAAAATGTGCAATGTTATGCGTTTGTAAGACAGAGAAAACGCATGTGGATGTAGCGCACTCAGACACTCGGTGTTATTACTGATCGTTGTTTCAATTCATGTTCTGGACATGTACCGCCTAGTTGTACACAAGCAATTTTATTCCTCTTATCGGTTATTCGAAGTGATGTATAAATATTTAATTTGTGTATTATACATTCCGACATTCGTCGGTTAGGCGGAATACTGGTAGGGGTAAGTGGTGTCTAGGTTAGTCCAGGGGTGGAATTTTAAATCTCGGGCGGTAGCAACGCTTCAAGGGGCGGGATTCTCGAAACGCCTCTTATCAGCACCAGCTGCTGTTATCAGTAGAAACGGCTGCCTCCGCCGCCGTGCCGTGTGTTGTTACTTGTTGTACGCTTTTGCGTTTCAAAGTTTCGACTTTCGACCAGTATTCGATTCGCGTGTCGCGTCCTGCCGAACCGACTTTCTTCATGGTGTCTGTCATGACATATTTTGTTATTTGCTACCAACTAACGGTGTCGTGCGTTGTTTTCGTGTTACAGGACGCAACGAATTGATCGCCAGGTACATAAAACTGCGCACCGGCAAGACACGGACGCGGAAACAAGTCAGTTCTCACATCCAAGTGTTGGCGCGCCGCAAGCTGCGTGAAATCCAAGCCAAACTCAAAGTGGTGAGTACCAAAAACCTTTCCGCGGTGTCCGACGCACTTCCACTTCAGTTTTACACACATTTTCGTTTCGTCGTTCGCCGAGAACGATATTCTTTTATTATTATTATTGTCATCATCGCCGTCGTTGTTGATACATTTTGTGTAGACAAACCCATGGTGGTTTTTTTTTTTTTTTTTGTAATTTTCTCATTAGTCGATTAGCCATGTATTTAAGTGTGTTAGAGGTAGAGTGTAACGTGTGTTGTGGGGCTATAGGTTGTACCCACGGAGCATGCGGCCAAGGAGAAGGCGTTACAGACCATGTCGGCAATGTCCAGTGCGCAGATTGTGTCGGCATCAGCAACTGTCGCAGCTATACACTCCAAGGGATTGGCCAGCTTGGCGTCTTATCCACCTGGCGCGCCGCCCCCGCCGGTGAGTACACAATGCTCCCAACGCACGCTACCTCTTGTATACGTTTGCTTCTCTCATAGCTTATTTTGCCATCCGTAGCTTGTGTTGTTGTACTTGTGATTTACCAATAGCTTTAACTAACGTTTATTTTGTTTTTTTTTTTTACAGTTTTGGCAACCAGGATTACAGCCGGGCACATCTCAAGAGTAAGTAGTATACCCTAGTAAAGTACACTAGTAGTCTAGTTTAATTTATTCAGAAAACCAATATACCTAATATATTTGCTATTACTTCACAGTGTTAAGCCATTCGCCCAAGGGTACCCAAGCGGTGGATCGACAGGCCTTAAACCCCCGTCTACTGCTGTATCGTCTGAAATCCAACCACCCAGTGTCCCACCTTGGGATGGCAGAGCAATTGCAACACACAAGCTGCGTTTAGTTGAGTTCTCCGCATTTATGGAACACCAACGAGAACCAGAAATAGTGAGTACCTTATCGAACTAAACATAGTGTATGTATACAATAGTTTAAATGTAATTTTTCTCAACAGTATCAAAAACATCTTTTTGTACATATTGGAGGACCAGTGAGCTATTCAGATCCTTTGTTGGAAGTGAGTGTGCTTGATATTATATTATGTTCTTTTAACAATACATAATATTACATATAATTAATTTTTGTTTACAGTCTGTGGACGTGCGACAGATTTATGATAAGTTCCCAGAGAAGAAAGGAGGCCTTAAAGAATTATACGACAAAGGTCCCCAAAACGCATTCTTCCTCGTTAAGTTCTGGGCAGATCTCAATTCGAACATTCATGATGAAGCTGGTGCTTTCTATGGCGTCACTAGCCAGTAAGTGTCTACACAACTAAAAATACTTAAGAATTATTTGATGTTCAATGGCTTTTTTTCTCTTTCAAGATATGAGAGCTCTGAAAACATGAGTATAACGTGTTCAACTAAAGTTTGCTCGTTTGGCAAACAAGTGGTCGAGAAAGTGGAGACAGAATATGCCCGATTCGAAAACGGTCGGTTCATCTACCGCATACACAGGTCACCTATGTGTGAATACATGATCAATTTCATACACAAGCTCAAACATTTGCCCGAGAAATATATGATGAACTCTGTGCTGGAAAATTTCACTATATTACAGGTAATATTGTGTTAATATTTGATTACATGGTAATACTTGACAACCATGTCTCGATCAGTGTTTTATAATTTGGTTTGTCCTCCCATTCCGCAGGTGGTTACCAACCGAGAGACCCAAGAGACTTTACTTTGTACCGCTTACGTCTTCGAAGTATCCACGTCAGAACATGGCGCACAACACCACATGTACAGACTGGTCAAAGACTAAGAGTATGTTATACATTTACAATGAACTATCAAAAGAAGTCGATTGGTGCTGTTTGGTTTCAGTCGTACCTTTATTTATTTGAGAGACCTTCCAAATGATAAATGTCTCCCAATCGATAATTTTATTTTGTTTGTAACTACCCAATACCAAAATACTCTCTTTATGAAGGTAATGTTTACCTAATCAGATAATTATTATTATTATTAATTATTATTATTATTATTATTATTATTATTGTTCTTAATGACTTGTATAACCGAGGGGGTCAGTCTATCTGATATTATTCTGAGATTATTGTGTACTTTTTTTTATCCCTTTGATTTTACCATTTTTTTTTTTTTCACTAATTTATTATTAGGATTTGTGTTGTATTATTGTAAAATGGAAACACCGAGTAATTTATTGATGTGCAAATATCATCGTATGACTTGTCGCTTACAACCGGTGACTGTTATCATTGAGTATGAAATTATGACCGAGGTTTTAAGGGTTTAAAATAAATTTGAAATTATTACGTTTTTTGTACTTAAAAGTTAGGTCGACTGAATCCTATTGCAATTCTTATTGGATGTTGTAAAAACTATGTAATTTTGTAGATTAATTTGTATATAAATAGAAATATATTATATTATTTTTAAAAATAAACAAAACAAACAAACTTTACAAAAAAAATGAAACATTTTTAACATTTAAATAAATACATAGGGAATAATATGTTTTATATTATTATTATTTTTTTGTTTCCAAGATTTATTAGTTTTTACATTGTAAAATTATACTTAGAAATGATTTCATTTGATCTCTGGGTTTTTCCTCAAACAGTGTTTGAAAATTAAGAAACAATAATAATATATATAATATTACACGTTTTATTTATATTTTATTGAAATTTTATTTGAAAAAAAATGTTCAAGATATTTTTATTATTTTTTTGATTTTATACTTTATTTTTCGCATATATATACTATTATTGTAAAACATACTCTTGGACATTGTAAAGTAACTAAATGTTTTTTCATCCATATGGTTATAAAAAATAATAATAACAATAATTATTAATGAAATGTTACCAAAAACTAAAATCATTGAACCGTGTTCCAAAAAAAAAGAAAACACGATTCATTTAGTCCAGTGAGTTGAAAAACCGAAATGAAATTCTACTTAAGGAAAGTGTATATGATAATTACGTGAAATCGATGATAATTATATTATATATGTATTGTGTATTGTGAAATTATTATACTGGTTAACTGTTGGCAGCTATTATCAGTATTTTTTGATGATGTATGTAAGCATATTATTTTATGTTAATGTGCAATGTTATAAAAGTTTAATAATTATTTTGTATATTTTATATTTTATTTATACATATTTTAACATTTAAGTTGAACTCTATTTTTTTTTTTTTTAATTATAATTTCTTTTTCTTTATGAAAAAAAAAATTTAAAACTAATAATTTTTTTTTTGTGTCCATTAGTCCAAAATGTGTGCAAGTGTACAAACGCTTCCTGAAATCGCCTTTGTACACTTTTTTTTTTGAAATGAATAAAAAAAATTATTTATTTTTTTGATAAAAAATGTATTTGTCTATATCATTCCACAGAGCATGGATTTCATAATTATCATTTATTACACAACTTATTGCTGTATAAGAAAAAATAAAAAAAATACCTGATTCAACAATTTTTGACTTGGGGGCTACTAACACTATGTATTTACATAAGAAAAATGTATTTAGGAACGACAAAAACATTAATTTTCTTATTTGGGAGCTGTCACTTACAAAAGGTTGAGCATCACTCATCAAGCATACCAATTACCTGTTGAGCCATAAAATAATCAAGTACCATGTTCTGAAATTAACTGTCATCATATTAGGAGAATACTAATCTTATTAGCTATCGCCCGTCGTCAATATGGAAAAACTTCAAACCAAAAGAGAAAATTTGCTATACTAGATGTGAATAAAATATTGATTGGATGTAGAAGAACAAGACGTAACAACACTGTTAATTTTCTGGATTTTTATTATAAGTATTTGAAGTATGATAAAAACAGACATTTTATGCACTATACGTTGTTTTGGAAGTAAAAAATATATTATTTCAAAGTATATATTTTCTAATGACTAAAATTATACCAACCATACTAATGGGTTTTTGCTTTGACAGTTAGATTAAGACAAAGCGGGCTAATTGTCAATTTCATAAAATACATATTTCAAAATATTTGAAAAAAGAATCATCATTTATAAATTATATTGCAATCTAGCTGTTTCTGATGTTTTCCCAAAAACACACCCTGGAACTGTTCAATAATCCACTAACCATGCGTGTATTGTCTCCATCTAAAGACAAATATTTCGGTTCTTCTGCACTCGTATTTTTCCATTCAAAACTTAAATCTTGTGAATTCGGATTTCTAAAATTCAAAGAACAATTAACTCTAGACTCGATGATAAATTAAAATGCAGCAAAAAATTATGCAAGTCAATGTTTTGATAATAATTCATAATTTCAAACACACCCAGTTTTAGCAAAATTGGTCCACAATTTACTCATTGTTCTACACATTCTTAACTCTGGTGAATTGGCCTTGGGTGCAAACCCAAACAATCGTCCATGAAACAAATAACTCAATTCGTCAGCGTGACATGCACCTAGAAAAGTTACATCACACCAATTCAATATTATGTAGAATAAATGATAATATTATGCAGTGTTTAGTAGAATGAAGATAAATATGAATTTTACCTTTTAACGGTTGAAAAGTTGGCCTTAAGTAAAACAGAATGGTTTTGCAAATATTGATTTCTCCGTCAAATTTAAACTCATAACTGTAAACAGGTGAGATGTTTTGTTTGAGAATATAATCATAACCTCGATGAAAATCTTTAGAAAAATATAAATCACTGTAGAGCTAATCAAAACAAAACACAAATTCTTAACATGGAATCATATTTCAATATTTGGTAAAAAAAAAAAAATAGATTCATAATAATGTTTGGGGTTTTGGTACACTTACATGACATATATTTTCCAATCTAGTTGTTCCGAATTCCATGTTACATTCGTTGAAGTAAAAGTTCTTTACTTTGTTAATGATCTCTTTACTATACTTCCTTTGAAATAATTCATTAATTTCTTTGGTGTCATTAAGAATTTTCCTCATTTTATGCTCTGAAATATGTATCAATCAATTGACAGTTTTATTTTTGATATGGATACGACCATTAGTACTATTTTATAGTTTATACTGTACTATAGGCGAAAATGTATTTATAATTAATGTACAACAATTATCTCTAAATAGCGAATACAAAATAGTAATAGATAGTTGTACCTCTTATTAAATATTTATTACATACCATTTGGCATATATAAAATATAAAATAAATTGTACATCTGTATGAAGTTTCAATTTAGTTTAATTCAAGTTCAAAAAAAAAAAAATGAGGAAATTATTAAGTTACACAAATAATTTGCCTCCAAAAGCTATCAATCCTTCCATGTTGTTGATTCCAGTTATTACAGGTACTGTTGGTGCAGTTTTGACTAAAATTTCAGGATGAGCAGGTAAAAATTTGTCACTAACCGCTTCACTTTCAACAGACGGAAGAAACTCATAATCTTGAAAATCAGTCTTGCCCTTTTAAAATAAAACAGTTTTAATGTTTGTTATAATAAATTGTATACAATAGTGATTATTTAAAAATAAATCAAGGGACCAACTCAAAAGAGCATCTTATGTGGGCATTAGCCATTAAATAGTATAATAAAGGTCTAGGGACAAGGGGGAAACCCGCCTCTTATACCAAGAGTTCAAAATATTTTTAGATTATCAATTTTGACTAAATGACCTAATTTTTTTATGGTTAATCTTTCAATAATAAGTTATGGTTTATTGCAATTATTACTAATATCATATTTTTAATTTTCAATTTAACATAGTCTCATTTACAAGTGAATAATTTATAATCTTTTTAATGGGTTAAAGTTATTATTAAGTATAGTAAATGTTGATATTAATTAATAATATATGTTTTTGTTACATTTATGTACCAATGGAAGTTGCGGAGAGGCAAAAATAAATATGTAGTTACATTCTTACAAATTAACAATAGTTAGTGCAAAAAAGGATATTTGAGAAATACAAATTACACTTAAGACACCAGTAAAATATATTTAAATTAAATGCAAAATATACTTTTAAAATGAAAAATAATTTATATGAAGTTACTAAATTTGATATAATTATTTTTTAAATAAGTTTAAATTTAAAATTGTTATCATTTTTGAAAAATATTTTTATCTACTTTATGAGTACCTCGATTTTAGTTAATTTGACGATGTCAATGGCTGGAACACTGAGCAAGAATTGAACAACTTCTTTAGGATCATCTTTTACACAACCTAAATTTTTGGCCAACTTGAAAGCTGCTTCTCTGTGTTTTTCAGTGAATGCCCATGAATTAAACAAACATCCACTTTGCATGATTGCCTTTTGAAATAGTCCTAGTTTCAAAATAAAATATAAATATCTTAGAATTAATATTATATTATATTATATGATTTTAAAACATAAAATTGTACATCTAATTTCGAACAATACACATAACAATTATTATAATTAATGATATTGAAACTCAACCTGTGGATTGTGGAGACAACATGTGACAATGAACCGATGCTGATCCTGCACTCTCTCCAAAAATTGTTATGTTTTGAGCATCACCTCCAAACGCATTGATATTAGCTTTTACCCATTTAATTGCAAACAGCTGATCTTTTAAACCCATATTGCCAGGACATTCGTCAATATCAAAGTTGAGAAATCCTAAACACAAAATCTACAGGTTATTTGTTTTATTATAAATTAATTACCCATAATATTTTATAGGTAATTAGTTACAAAAAAATAATATTATTAATTTTTAAATGTCTGTAAAATCACCAAGAGCATTCAAACGATAGTTGATTGTGACTATGATTACATTTTCATCAATCAAATATTCAGGAGAGTAAAAATCAGATGATGCAGATCCGTTGTTGAATGCACCACCGTGTATAAACACCATAACTGCCATTTTTTCTTTTAATTCTTCCTTGTAAGACGGCAAATCACAAAAAAAATATCAAATTCTGTATATTCTAATGGAATTATTAAAGCATTATTTTTATTATACATACTTGAGGTACAAATATGTTTAAATATAAACAATCTTCATTTCAGCAATTTTTTCTTTATAAAAGAATACTGCATGCACATATTTCCCACTGAAAATGCTTTTAGTATGCCAGACCATCCCGGATGTTTGACAGGAGGCTGTAAAATGCATACCATTAACACTCTAGAACTAGTAAATAAGTAAATATAATGTTTTCAACCACACAAAATATTAATCTCTATTATTCTGTGATATTATATACTGTATTACTTAAAAATCAAACAATGTCCCACCTTAAATCTCAAGTTTCCAACAGGTGGTTTAGCATAGGGTATGCCTAGAAAACTGACGTAAGGCTTATTTGACACTTGTGTTTTGTAGTGAATTCCTTGTAGAGTGCCTTGTTCAATAATAACAGTCGTTCGTGGCTAGAAAATATTATTTTTTATACCTATTACACTTTTAGACTCTAGTTTCTACCTAATTACAAACATTTTCTTATAACAGTAAAAATTCTTTTAAAATACCTACTATGTGTATAAGATAGCTATTTTATTATTTTATATATTTTTATTTTTTATAGCTATTTTATCATTTAAACTCAAAGTACTAGCTGTTGATTGTTGAATTGTCTAGCACCGGGCAGTAAGCACCCTTAACAGCAGCCATAATTAATTGCGGTCCGAAACAACTCAAAATCAAAATCAAAAATCATACCAGCTTAAAAAAATGTATGTAATTATTTTGCATTATAAAATGTTAAATTATAAAAATTATATTATCATTAATTGAGAGTCGTCCCTCCATCTTCAGCAAGAAAAAGGTCGCGTATGGCCGCTGAAGAGTCATCATTACAATGAGCGAATCGTTTGTTGCGGTTTTCAGAGGACTATCTATCTATTACCAGTGGCGCAAATAGGAAAAATGTTCAGGGGGGGCTCAAGCCCCAAATATTTTTTTTTTTAATAATAATAGATTATTATTTTTTTACCCCCACCCATTCGCACCACTGCCTATTACCTATACAAGACCATACCTTCAGATATCTTACGACAGTGTTGGACAGATACCCCTTAAACTTGTTGAACATGATAGTGGTGATGAACCGCCATTTGATGAACGTCCGCCATAGTTTTGACATAATCAAATTGAATAATTGTCAAAAATGATTTCTTGTTCGAAGTAGGCTGTACGGTGTTTCGTTCATATATAATAATATTTAGAGGTAGACAGATGGACATCCGACGCGGGCGCGGACCGACAATATCACAAAATATACATTATGGATAGCGAGTAAAACATCTAATCCGTACCTTAGACGGTTAGACAGTGGTGCTTAAGGGGGGGATGGCATGGGTAGGTATTGGAATTTTTTATAGGTGTTTAAAATCACGATTCACGGTCAATGGCCATGATGGACTCATGACCAACTCCGGCCCATAGAATAAAGATAATAGAATATAAAAGATGCTCCGGCCCACGTGAGAACATTAACTTGTCCCGACAAAATGCTTCTCCCCCCCACCGCACACACACGACAAAGGTTCGTTAATGTTCGGCAACACTCGTACATATTTTCCATGCGCTCGGCGGTATAATGTATACATCAGCGTTTTTCAACCTGTGGTACGCGTACCACCACTAGTGGTACGTAATACGCTCGTAGGTGGTACGCTCAGAAAAATCTCCCTTTATCAAAAAAAAAAATGAAATGTATCATTATTCGCGAAATATATGTTTTGGTTTATTTTATATTAAATAATAATATAAATGACAATTATACATATTATTTTATTTACATATATTTATGAATTAAACGCTTATATTATCATAATTTTGTGGATTCTGATGAAATTAATTTCGATACCTATATGTAAATTAAAGTATTTGGTATTGATTTTGATAAGCAAAATAAAACGTTATTTGGCCAAGTGGTACATGAAAATTGCAAAACCGTATCGGTGGTACCTGGATATAAAAAGGTTGAGAACCACTGGACTATACATAATATTATATAACCAATATCGTCGTGGCACAAAGTGGGGGAAATTGTGCCACGGACCAGGTTTTGAAAATATCATGGGGGCCTCACTATTTTATAAACACGTCATGTACAGTTTTACCTAACGAATTTCATTTTAGTTAAATTGATTGTTAAACAATTACTAAAATATAGTTATTTGTTGTTTTTTATGTTATAACATTTTAATATAGTATTAGCAATTTAGCATCTTAAAAAAAACCACAAGACAAAAAATTAAAAAATAACAATTTAATTTTGAAAGTTACGTGTTTAGAATTGTTAATGAATTGGTTAGATGCGCGAAACGGTAATGTTCTCTCGTGGGCCGGAGTGTAAATTATTTAGTCATGATCACGATCATCCTAGAATCTAGATAATAGGTACCATCCATCACGATTATCCTATACCTATAGGTAATAAAATAATATAGTGCTTACACGAGTGATATTTATTATTTATTTATTTGAATCCCAAAAACTAATGATTTCACCACTTTAATTTAAAAGTATCATAAGAGTATCAAGTATAGACCTGATCTACAGCCCCCCAAATGTGAACACTATATTTACGCCTACGCCTCTCAATAGTTCCAAATTCCACAATGGTGCCACCGACAAACTTACGCTTTGTATAGTTTTTTCAAAGTGTTGTCAGCGTTGACACAAAAATAATGTATTAATGTATAATATTTTATATTAATGCAGAAAGACCGATAGTAGAACATGATTCTAGTACAGAATAAATTATATAAAATTGAATTATTTATTTATTCTGCGATTGAGGCGAGCACGTAATTTGTGTGCTGTGTCTCGGTAGTGATATGTGATCAGGCGTGGATTCAGGGGTGGGGGCATGGGCACTCGGGCACCGGTCCCCTGTCGTCTAAGCCACTAATAATATAAATTTGTATTCAAAATTACATAATATAAAATAAAAATGTGTAACCATTCTTTTTTTAGATTCTGAGCGGAGTGATGTGTGGATGATTTTTTTGTTTCTGTCATCACCGTATTCGGGGCCATAAGCATAAACTGAGGGGAGGGGGTGAGAGTTGGCAACTGCAATGAGTTGATTAATCAAAATGTATTTATTTATTGCCATATGCGATATGCCCAGTGGCGGATTTGAGTTGGGGGGGGGGGACGTGGCGATTACCTCCTCCTAAGGCTATTATTTTTTAATTGAATTATAGCGCAGTATGATATAATGAATATTAAATTCATAGGTCATAACTATAACTTCAAACTTAATAAAAGATACAAAAAAGGTATTTATTTTTTTATATCATATCAATTACCTATATTGTTATTTGATTATCGATACAAATTATAGAATTTAAATAACATGATTATGTTCAAAACAAATTTGAAATTAGTTATAACCATAGATAATAAAAGAATATTTTCTTTTTTATAACCAAAATTGCTGTGTTAGACAACTTGCTACGGTTATAGTTTTAGACTATAGATAGGAATATAGGATGACAGATAAAATAATTTTACCGCCAAGCAGTGCTGTAGCGTGCTGCACCGCCGTTGGGGAACGGGAAAAAAGTCTCGTAGAAAAAAAGTTCATACATTTATTAAAATAATTTTTTTTCTATTCTCACATCTTACTTAGTGCTATATATAGATATGTATATTTTTTTAGTAATATTATTGACTAAGATTCAATGAGATATTTTTTTATTATTTTTGATCTGTTTTGTATTCATTAAAATAATTTTTAAAAGTTACAGCGATAAAAATTTATAGAACTAGGTTTTTAAAATTATGTTATGTAATGTAATTTTCTGTTTTGTATTTAGTAGTTACCTATTATATGATTACATAATTATTAGATATTATCTTTAGAAAACAGACTTTTTTCTGGATACTTTTTTTCCGGGACTTTTTTTCCTACCATCAAATCTGTTATCATTTCATTTTTATAAAATAAATTAAATATTTTGTTCACTGTGACTGTTGTAAATAACTCAATTTTAATATTGTGTGCTTAATATTTCATTTTCATTGTTCATTGACAGATTTGAGGCTGGTAAAAAAAGAACCATACAATTGTTGCTCAAATAAATTATAAATACGTTTGTTTATTTAATATTGAATAAAAGACTATTCAATTTTTATAAGGTTTAATTTTTTTTTTTATATATATATAAGTATATAACAGAGGTTTATTGACTAATATGTATATATTGAAATTCTATGATACCAATTAGCCCCCTCCTTAAATGAGCTTCAGATCCGCTATTGGATATGCCATCTTAATACATGATGATAATGAGTAAAAACCATCATCTTATCAAGCTTTTTTAAATAATTTCATTTAATTTTACATACCTACTACAATAAAGATTTAGCTTGGATAACAATATTATTATGTTATGCTATCCAGTTTCCATTGATTAAGTATATTTAATCTTCAAATATCTTTAAGGACCAATACGGCAGATCGACATAAAATAAAGTTTGCCCCCCCACATAAAAATTGCCCAAGTTACGCCCACGTTTGGGGCAGTATCTCGATCAATGGGAAAGTGAATCTAGTTTGTTCATTCAGAAGGTCAAAGTTCAAAACTCCAATAGTTTTAAATGCGCCTGGAAAAATAAAATTAAAATTAAGGAGAAACAGGATTTTTTAAGCAAAATCGGTTTTCGACAAAAGCAACTTTGGTTTTCGGTGTAACTCTAAAACAAATAACCTTAGATACATGACATTTTCACTGCATGTTTATATTAGCATTATTTTCTATACACGATAAAATGTTGTGTTCTTAACTGTGTAGGGACGTTTTCAGTTTCCAATTTTATTGGTTTTTTTTTCTACGAATGTCAATAACATTTTAAAGCTTGTATATATTATATTGTTAAATAGGTATATATTCAATATTGTTACAATGACAGTTGAAAAATATTAAAAATACAGTCACAATTTTTTCTTATGAGATTATTTTATTTATACTATTTTTTTTTTTAATATGCATTATAGGATTTTAAAGTTTCATATATTATACTTTTATCGTACCTTATTGATAAATACAAAATAAATTAAACATAAGGAGCTATTATTAGAATTCCGTCGACTGTCAAGCTTAGAGCTCGCTGCAGTGTTATGCAATACGTGTCACAGACAGCACAAGTACCTACTCTATGGGTTAGGTAATTGGGAGTGTATTAATAAATTTGATTTTTCTATAGGTAATTTAAAGGAAAGGAAATTAGACCAAATTAATATAATAAATGACAATATGACAATATTATAAATATAAAACACGGAGTAAATGGGAAACATATAATGCGACTAAACAGAACTATATACATCTAATTAATTTATCTAATGACATTTTCCCTAGAATTGACACTACCTATAAGGCTATAAACAATTTACAGTAATTAACCATGTAGTAATAGTAATAAGTAATTCATTGTTTCAGAGGTGATAATTTTTTCTATGTTTTATTTTAATCAGATATTTGATATTGTAATTTTTTCTAAATTATATACATACTGGGGGGGGGATACTGTTAGTTTGAACACGTGTGTGTATGTGTGGCAAGGATTTGTCACTAAAAATCCCGGGTGACCACCCATCTGGGAACTAGAGAGTAGGATCACATTTGTGTCTAAATGCAAACACCACTCCACAGCCACTTTTATATTTATGTATACATGAAAAGTAATTAGGTGTTCTATTTGAATTGTGTGTGCTTAGGCGCAAATATGAGTGAGAGGGGCTGAGAGGCTAAGCCCCCCTAGAATTTCTATAGCCCCCTCAAAAACTAACGATTTCACTACTATAATTGAAAAGCATCATAAAAATATCAAGTATAAGACCTGAGCTACAGCCCTCCCCTAATTTCAAACACTATTGACGCCGAAAAGGTATTTTTGTTAATTATGTACGACGGAACTACGGAAGTGATCGACAATAGACAAATACAACAATTTTTTCTAGTTAAAAAAAATTTTTCCAATTTGAAGAATTAACAGTAAGGTCATATTTGTTGATTCAAAGTTTATTTGGTTAATATTTTATACATTTACCAAATCAACTATAGTAGTAAAGATCAAAATTTGATTTTTGTAGCAATAATCTAATAGTTTCTGATATGTTTTCCCAAAAACTTATCCTGGAACTGTTCAATAATCCAACAACCATGCGCGTATCGTCTCCATCTAATGACAAATATTTAGGTTCTTCTGCACTCGTATTCCTCCATTCGAATTTTAAATCGTGCGAATTAGGATTTCTGAAATTCAAAGAACAATCGAACAAAAAAAAAAAATAATAACAATAACATTAACTCTGGACTCGATGAAAAATTAAAATGCAACAAAATATTATGTTTATCAATGTTCTGATCAATAAACCATCATAATTTTAAACACACCCAGTTTTAGCAAAATTGGTCCATAATTTACTCATTGTTCTACACATTCTTAACTCTGGTGAATTGGCCTTGGGTGCAAATCCAAACAATCGTCCGTGAAACAAATAACTCAATTCGTCAGCGTGACATGCACCTAGAAATGTTACATCACACCAATTCAATATTATGTAGAATAAATGATAATATTATGCAGTGTTTGGTAGAATATTGAATATTTACCTTTTAGTGGTTCAAAAGTTGGCCTCAGAAAATAGAGCAGTTTTTTGAAAACATTGATTTTTCCGTCAAATTTAAACTCGTAGCTGTAAACTGGCGTGACATTTTGTTGGAGAGAGTGTTTATAACTGAGATGAAATTCTTTAGAAAAATAGAAATCACCGTAAAGCTAAACGAAAATAAAAACCTCATAATTTTGAAAAACAGTTAAAAATAAAATAATCCCTTCATTCATATATTTCTATAATTAAGTAATAAAGACTTTTTAAAATCGGAAATCACAATTATTATTGTTAAAATGTGATAAATGTAATATTTATAACTCCAAATAAATTATTTAAGAGGTAGACGTACCTTGAACATGTGTTATCTCCGTCACTCCAACACATAACATTACATTTTACATTGTAATTTTTAATATTAGAGTGAATTGGCCTATTATAAGATATTTAAATGTTAGATTATACTTCCAGGGCTTTACTTTAGCTTTTTATGATATTTTAACTATTTAAAACAAGTTATTATCATTTAAAAATTTGCAATTGTATAAATATACTCTAGTAAAAAATTACTCCTAACGTCCTTCTAACGCTTTTGTATTGTATATTAAAATAAGAATGGGAAAACAAATTCATAGAGCATACTATTATATTTGTACACTAATATTACTACTTACATTGCATATTTTTTCCAATCTAGTGGTTCCACATTCTACGTTGCATTCATTGAAGTAAAAGTTCTTTATTTTGTTCACAACATCTTCAGTATAGCCATATTTTTTTTCAAACAATTTGTTGATTTCCTCGGTACCATTTATAGTTTTCATAAAATTTTCATCTGAAAATGAAAATGTAATAATAAACTTTGAATAAATATTGAATGTTTCACATAAAAATTACTACTTTATACTTTGCTATACCCCTATAACCTATACCTATCCAGTGGCGTAGACAAAAGGGGGACGCGGGGGGGGGGGGGGTCAGATCCCCCCATTGGCTTTTTATTACCTTAGTAAAAAGTTTTGAGAGGGTGGGGGATTTTCCAATTGTCCCCTCCCATATATCTAAGTCGTTTTCTTTTTTCGATCCCCCCCTTTCAGAAATCATGTCTATGCCACTGTACCTATCTACAGGCTAAAATGTTTGTACAAATGAACAACTGTTATCTTTAAATAGTATTAATGTATTATAGTCTATAAATAATTTTACCTTTCTCGATGTGTATAAATTCATAAGGTGAGTTTGTTCTTAAGCTAGTTATCAATTAGCATTTATAAAAGAATCAATACAAATATTAAATTGTACATTTTTATGATCAAAATATGCGTCAATTATATATTGAGTTCAAAATATAATACTTACCTCCAAAAACTAACAATCCTTCCATGTTATTGATTCCAACTATTACAGGTACTGTTGATGCAGTTTTAACTAAAATTTCAGGATGAGCAGGTAAAAATTTGTCAGTAACCGCTTCATTTTCAACCGACGGAATAAAATCATAATCTGGATTTGTCTTAGCCTTTTAAAATATATTTTTTTATACTTGTTAGACATTAGTAAACATTTAATAATAAATCAAGTAAATACATTTTGCAAATATTTTTAATTTTATTTTAGATAATTTATTTTTTCAATTTATTATCATATACTTAACCAGAGATTAAAAACGTTTTTAAGTGCACTCTACCTACGCCTTCGTTGTCTTTTTTTGTTCACATCAAATTTTTGTTCACTAGTTTCAATAGTGTGCTGTTAGTTTTGATATTAAAGTGAATTTACCCAAACTTTTAGGTAAGAACATTATCTGTTATTTTAATTTTCAAGGAAGTAATGGGTATAAGAAATATCACAAATTAAAAATGCTCATATTTCGCTTGAAAATTAAAATATCAAATAAAAGCCGACGCTGAAGGGTAGCATTCCCTTAATTTGTAGATTTTAAATCAATAAATCAATTTTTTTTGTTACCTTTTCGGGCTTTTAATATTTTTTTTTATAAAATCGGTTTGTTACTAGGTATAAGGTTTTTGTTTTCATAATATTTTTAATGCGTTGTAGTTTTAGTTACCTACCTAAGTACAATGTAAGTTAATATCAATATTAATTTTGACAACATTTATATATTTTGGGGGAGGAGAAGCGAAATAAATAGATACTCATTAATTAAGTACCAGTCAATACATACAATTATTTTTGAAAATTAGTGAACTCTTTAGCCACTAGTATTATAATTATATATAAATTAAATGAAAATAATTAAAAATTATGGAGAAAGTAAAAAATTGGAGTTTTAAAAAATTTTATTTAGCGTTTATAATTCTGAATTCTGATATTGAATATAATATAATATAAATATTGATATTAATATTAATATATTAATATATATATATATTTATATATATATTATATTAATATTGATATATGTGTAATTGAAATACAATTTACGTTAATCATTTTAATTTAATTCAACTTTTTCTGAATGGTTTTCATTGCTTAAAAACGTTTTTAATCTATGTTTCTTTATGCATACATCAATGGTAATTGATTTGACAATATCAATAGCTGGTATATTGAGTAAGTATTCAACAACTTCTTTAGGGTTGTCTTTTCTACACCCCAAATTGTTGGCCAACTTAAAAGCTGATTCTCTATGATTATCATTCAAAGCCCATACATTAAACATACATCCACTTTGCATAATGGCTTTTTGAAAAAATCCTAGTTAAAAAAAGTTTTAAATAATTTATATTGTATTAGCTAACATTAATATACAGACGTCAGACAAATTGCAAATTAAGTATATAGTTTCTAATTTCAACCAGTGGCGGCGTGATTATAGCTATTTTATGAGGCGGACACTTCGTATAAAAGTGGGGGTGGGTATCCCAATGACTTCAGTTTCAAAGACCTAGACGGATAGAGTGCAGGATAGACTAGTTTATATAATTTATAGTCGCATAGTCACATACGAACTGTGTTCAAAATATGTGAAAAGATAAGTGGAAAATGTGGAAAAATTGGTGTGCGAGTACTTATTTAAGGTAGTAGGATCATAGGAAAAAAAGTTCACACCCCCATCATGGGCGCCCGCAGGAAATTTATCCGGGAGGGGCATAATAAAATTAAACACCAAAAAGATAAGTTGTTAAAATGTTCAACATTATATTATAATTCCAGGTGGGGGGCAAATACCCCGTCTTGCCCCTCTCCGGGCACTCATGGCCGCCACTGATTACAATCAAATAAAACAATACACATTCAATTAGTATGGATATCAACCTGTAGATTGTGGAGACAGCATGTGACAATGAACGGATGCTGATCCAGCACTCTCTCCAAAAATAGTAATGTTTTGATCATCACCTCCAAATGCAGTGATATTAGCTTTTACCCATTTAATTGCCAACAGTTGATCTTTTAAACCCATATTGCCAGGACATTCGTCAATATCAAAGTTGAGAAATCCTAAACACAAAATCTACAGGTTATTTGTTTTTTGATACATTAATAGTATACTATAATATTTTATAGATGTAATAATTACTACCTACCTAGTTACAAAAAAAAAAAAAAAAGAATATTAATTTTCTTAATGTCTGTAAAATTACCAAGAGCACTCAGTCGATAGTTGATTGTGACTACGATTACATTTTCATCAATCAAATAATCAGGAGAGTAAAAATCTAACGATCCAGATCCGTTATAAAACACTCCGCCGTGTATGAACACCATTACTGCCTTCTTTTCATTTTGTTCTTCCTGGTAAGGTGGAAAGCCATAACAACCACAAGAAAAAATCAATTGCGACAACTGTACATTTTAAATGGCAATTTTTTTTCTACAATAAGTACCTGCAGTGGCACAAATATGTTTAAAAATAAACAATCTTCACTTCCAACAATTTTGTTCTTTAAGAAAGAATACTGCATGGACATATTTCCTACTGAAAATGCTTTCAATGTGCCAGACCATCCTGGATGTTTGACAGGAGGCTGTAAAATGCATACCATTAACAGTCTAAAACTAGTTGGAAACTAAACTAAACTAGTTTAGTATAATTCATTCAAACATGAAATATTTATAATATTATGTACACTATTATAATATATTAATTATATTAATAATTAATATATAGTATATAATATATTATATAGGTACTGATAAGTCATAATATGTATATAAATAAAAAAATGCCCTACCTTGAATCTCAAGTTTCCAATAGGTGGTTTAGCGTAGGGTATACCTAAAAAACTGACATAAGGCTTATTTGACACTTGTGTTTTGTAGTGGATTCCTTGTAAACTACCTTGCTCAATAATAACCGTTGTTTTCTTTTGTGGCTAAAACAAATATTTTTTGGTACCTATTAACACTTTAAAAATTTATAATTATAAAAATTTTCTAATAAACAGTAATATCTCTATTAGAAGTCTATGTGCACATAAGAGATCTATTTTTTTTAAATATTTAAATAATTTTGTTTTATACAAAAATATAAGAAGGTCGTTCAACATACTTAGATAATTTGAATTCAAATAAAATTATTTATCTTGATAATGGTAATTAGTACTAATTAATAACATTTTCAAATCATCTAAGCCATATAATCATCGCCGATTTTCATATATAGATTAGATACTTATTATCCTTTACTCTTTAGTAAACAAAGTTAGGTACATAACTCAAAACTACTATTTAAAATTTTGATTAATTGCATCAAAATTCTCCAAAAAAAATATCTGCTGAATAATTAAAAGTATAAAAAAAGAGGATTCCTATTTGAAAAATGAAAGTTTCAAGTTTGTATTGTAACAACATCGTCCTTAAATGGTATAAAAATGTTCAACTATTCGAAAATCTTCTAGTGTATTTAAAAATTCCAAAAATCAGAACTTCAATATAATATGTATAGTTGAAGTAAAAAAAATTTTAAATAGGGTGAGCATGCTTAAAAAACCACTGTGTATATTATTAACGCGAAGCCTGCCGAGAGGAATTATTCGTTAATAATAAACTATGAAATTATTGAAATATTTGAAACTGCAAAATAATAAATAATAATTATTAATTACACTGAAACGAAATTATGAAAACCAAAATTATATTTATATTCCTTATAGAACTCTAACTTTGAAGACAAATCCATTACCATAATATATTATTCAAGTAAACTTTCAAAAGTCAATGTCTAATCTTCATCATTGTTTTATAATATAAGAGATAATATAAATAATATACTATAAAGGTATAAGTAGATGTATAGTATTATAAATCATAATATATATTTTAGTATGCAACATTTTCATGATCGCTCAATTCAACAGCAGGGCCGGGTGAGTGGGGCCCTCTGGGCCTCGTCCGAGCCCATTATTTTTAAGGAGAGATATAAAATATCTAACTTAACTTGCTGTAGCGCAATTAATCCAAAAAAAAACCACCTGCTACTTATTACTTACTTGACACTTGTACTATTATGCCCTGCTCAAACCATATAATAGGCAAGCATCTGGGCCCTGTAAAGAAAAATTGCGTATGGTTAAATGCATCGATAAATACTTTACGGGGTCCTTATACTCCCTATTTATACAGGCACACATCATGAAAATGAAAAAATTCACGAGACCCTAAAAAAAAACGGAAGGAACCCCGGCCGCGTTTACGGCTCAGCGACCATGGCCAGGCTGACACTGCGGGAAATTGAACATTTGCACATATTATAAGCTATAAAGTATAATAATTGTACTCCAATATTGTGATATTTAGTATACATTGTAATATAATATAATAATCGTTTGGCACAGTGATTTATACAATACTAGCTGATCCCGTGCACTTCGTTTCCCGTTAAATGTACCAACTCTATATGACTCAAACATTGTTCAATGCGTTATTTAATATTCGGTGTATGATGTTCTAGATTTATCTTAACTTTTCTGTTGCCCGGAATAAAAATTCTGAATTGCAGCAGTACATTATCAGATAGGTAATTTACCTGCGGTAGATCGCGGACCCCGTGCTCTTTGTACGTAAGTGTATGATTTAACTCAAAAAGTACCAAAGTTATACCAAGTTTGACGTTTTTACTTAATTCCACCTACCTATACATCCTAACCTAACCTAACCGTACTAAAATCCGATGAATAAAAAAAACCAAATTTAACCCTTTTTAAATTAGCGTATCTTCTTCCCATAGGTCTAATCTACACACGGTCATTCATTTATATATGAGATAGGTATATTTAGAAAAAATAATAATACAAATCAACAAACATGCCCGATTAACCAATAGCAACCAATATAATATAATACACAATAGAGTAAATAAAGACAACGGTATCGAGTTCAAATCCCAGACATCAATAAATAGTTTTTGCAGTTTTTCTAATTATTCGGTTGACTTTTTAAAAATTTTTTTTTGTAAAAACCTTCACCTGGCAATTACGAACATCTTAAAAACAATTTGAGCAAAATCGGCCCAGCCGTTCTCAACTGATGCAATTTCGAATTTTTTGTCTCCATTTTTATATATATAGATTATACACGACCGTACCGTCAAGTATCTTACGACGGTGCTGGAAAAAAATCCCTTGAACTTGTTGACCATGACTTTAGTGATGAAACTCCATTTGACGAACGTCCGCCATGGTTTCGACATAATCGAACGAAATTATCACAATTGATTTCTTGTTCGAAGTTGAACAGCATAGGGTCTAGTGTAGCAGGGAATAAACGGACATCCGACCGGGTCCGCACAGACAATATCACTAATAAATAATAATATACATTATGGGTAACGCATATCACTCCTAAACATCTAATCTGAATTCTCGCCATTTAAGCTCAAAAGTTCACAATCCTGACCCGACGGCGTCACTACACGCTTAGTACGATTTTAATATTAAAGTGTAAGTCAATAGTGTCTATAAACATCAAAAATAAAAAAATAAATCATAACAACCGATAACAGAACGCTGCACGATCGCAGCACAGATGAAACGTTTACAATAAGAAATGTTTTATTATACAGGGTGGGGCACTAAAACGGCCGATTTTCAATGAAAATCTATTTTTAAAAATTATTATGACCTAAAGCGCCTATACTCTCTAAACACATCTCTGTATGAGACCCAGGAGGGCACGTCCCAGGGTGCCAGACATAGGCGTAGAGGGAAACTTGAAGGTGGCTCTAGGGCCCAAAGGAGATTGAGGTTAGCCTTAACCATAGAAATATAAATTTTCTAATAGTGATGCTAGAAACTAGGTAATAAAAAAAAGTCATATAGGTAATACCTACCTCATTAATAACTTGTTATGTTTGTGTGAAAATAGAGGGGAATGTAAGTTCCCATACGGCCCCACAAGAAATATAAAAATCAAGCACAAGAAAAAAATACCATAAATAACCATATAATATATTTTTTTTCTTATTGAACTTTCTGCCCGGCGACTAAGGCCATTAGCTATCCATATAATATTATGTAAATTAATCTAGACTCTAGGTACACGCTGTATACAAAATGTTATTTCTATAGAAAAAGAAATTTCCTTCCCACTTTACTTGAAAACCAATCAGAAATATTTTATTTAACCTTACGGCTGCACGATTAAAAATCGATGAAGTATAAAAATTATTATATCAAAATATTATGATTGGAATTAGGCCACGGGATATGCGAAAACATGTATGACGCAATCGTACAGGTGGCCTTTCGGCCCAGAGAAGGTTGATAAGCGGGACACAGAGATGGTGCTCAATGCTCGAAGCTATAGGTAGTGACTACGGTAAATCTAAAAATAGTGTTTCGGGATTCTTTAAACACGGTGTAGGATTCCTCCTTAATCCTTATACGCTTTTCCTGGGCCATAACCGTCTATTATATCGATATTTTGATCTATTCGTTAATTTTGAAATCGATATTGAAATAAAAATGTTTTCCGTTTATTAGGTGTTTATTATTACTTTTAAGGGTCAATCTAATTTACTGATCTACTGATTTACGGATTTGTGGCCATAGCGGCCGTAGCATGGACAGACAAAGTCCGAATGGGTTGAAACTCCACAAGGGCCATTATAATACCACCATACAACTCCCTACCAAATTCCAGGTTGCCCCGTCGATTTTCACCTCAGGGTTACTTGTCGCAGAAATATCACAAACCGAAAAACTTAACCAAAAATTATGAAATTTTTTGCACGGTATGAGTTGTACCGTATTTAAATACCTTGAAAATTTCAAGTTCCTACCGCAAAAACCCAAGCCCTTATAACGCAGTTCAGTAATTTATTCACATAATCAAATCAGTAAAATCATGCGTCGCCATTCAAGAAAACCGCCGAGTTTCTCTAAAATCCTCAATACGACAATACTTTATAAAAAAATTATGAAACTTTGTACACTACATAATAGGTATATTGTATCGTATTTAAATAAAAGTATGATGAATACATGTGCAATAATAATGTTATATGTATATCGGTTTCTACAATCGAAATGATAAGAATCCTGTACGTTTTGTTGCATTACAACATTTCTAAGGCTCTTACTAAATTATTGCGACGGATTGTACTAGACAGTGACTTCAGATTTATCCACATTCCTGAATGTATGGTAATTAAGTGTTTGTAGTGGCCTGAGAGAACCCGTTGTTGATATTGAATGTAGCCGTTATTCTCATATAATATATTGTTAATATGTTTTTACTTTTTTAGAGCATTGAATTATTTGAGAATTTGCCTTCATAATAATGTGTCTTGACATAATATAATAACAATAAATGGGTTGAGCAACTTGTTTTACAAAATATCAATAAATGAAAATCAGTTGTACCTTTTTGTACCTGTAGTGTACTTACAAAGTTATAAGTGTCAATTTTAGGCGCCAAAGTCGTATCTCTTGTGTTTGGAAATTAATTATGAGGGTTGAAGACATTTTTCTCAAATTTACTTCTTACAAAATAAGTACCTACCTATACAATATTTACTAAAATAAAGCAACTTATTACACTTGAGTGTGACTTAGAATCCATCCATATAGATACCTGAAATTGAATGTACCTAATATGATTAAAATGAAGCATTTGTCATTTGTGCCTGAATGGTAATACAAAAAACTCATGCGGTTGTATATCGGTACCTCATTTAAATCAGAGCCGTCATACCCAAATCAGTTTAGTTATTAATTTATCTTTATATGGAAATGAATATAATAGTAAATTACACTTTTCATTTTTAAGTTTATCTTTATCATACAATGTAAGTTTTAATATACAAATGTATGTACAAAGAAGGTAGCATTAATTGTTTTTTTTTACCAATAAATTACAATACTTAATGAAATTTGACATTTGTAATCCCTAAGCGGCTAAGTATATACTATTGTTGCTAAATTGCTTTCAAATTGTATGTAATTAAGTGTAGTTTTTATAATAATATATTCAAATTTGGTTTATACAGTTTTTTATAAAATATATTGCTATAATATACCATCACTGAGATAAGTAATTAATTGAAAGTATAAGTTCTTGTTAAATTTACTAAAAAAAAAAAGAAAATATTACATACTCTTGTTTAACCTAGTGTTATAAACTATAATAATTGGTTTAAACTTAAGTAAAAAACTGCAAAGGCTAGGTCCACATTTTTATGTTTATTCACATGTTCTGAAGTTAAAAGATGTATGTTAAGTGTTAACTGAACATCAATAAAATACCTGATGTCATGAAAATATGGATGTTTAGTTATTTATTTAATAATATAATATGATTTTTGTTTAAGTAAACACCAGGGGTGCTAAGATTTTACTTGAAATAACCTTAACACGATAATCCCTATTTATGAATACTAAAAATTGAGTATTTACTTGGCAAGTCCTACATTCTACTAAGAATTGACTAAGTCTTAACTAAGTTTATATGATTCCAAATAAGTTCTATGATTAAGATTAATGAATACAGCCAATGAGTAATACATTAGCGTATATAGAAATAATTTTTGGGGTGGGCTATAGTAGATAGAAACTAGCAAGTGATCTATTACTTAGAGGCTACTATATATTTAACAGTTTCTATAAATATACAGTGGAACCTCGATAACTCGAACCTCTATAAGTCGAATTTTCGTTAACTCGAAGGAATGCTATGGGCCCTTCATTTCAATTCATGATAAATTGAACCTCTATAAGTCGAATTTTCGATAACTCAAATTTTATTTTCGTCCCCAACCGATTTGAGTTATCGAGGTTTCATTGTATTTGTATTTGTTATCTTTCTACGGGCTATGAAATATTGTAACTTATAATAGTACCTAATAAAATATATTGTTGTTCTATTTAAAAATACTGTAATTTCGGAGGGGGGGGGGGGAGCTACAACCCACTATGTACGTCACTGGTATACCATGTTGAGTGTTTTTTTTAACTGATCATTTTTTTAGATCTTTTCCACAATAAATATTGAGGAATTTTTATTTAGAAGTGAAATGAAGAGAGTTTTTAATGTTGGTGCAAAGCATCGTACACATTATAGTATAATATATCCGCTATCGTGGTTCAAAGTTATACAACACTCTATATAACTTTGCACCAAATAAAAAAAATAAAGTAGATGAAAGAAATTGTGTGCTTTTTTATTGAGTATCTTCAAAATACTGTAGGTATCTATAAGTTATAACTTATAAGTAATATGAGTAATATTTATGACTTTGTATCAGTGTAATTTATAAAATTAATTTGTTTTATAATCAATATATCATAAATTATATGAATAAATGCTGTGTTATATTATAATTAAATTTGTATGAGTTATGAAATAATAGGTAATGAAGTAAACATTTCTTTTTGTGTATTGTTAAATGTTTTCATTATTTTGAAAAGATAATCAAATAAGTTTATTTTGTTGACTTCGATGTCTCAGCCTTGGGGGATTAACAGGCGGTTTGTAACTGGAAATAAACATTTATAATTTAAAATAATATATTTTGTTACTATCAATAAAATATTATTTTAAGTTTTTTAATTATGACATTGTTATTTACCATTATAAGAGCCAGTGGCGGTTTTGATAAAACATCAAGGGGGGGGGGCTATTTTTGTTGGGCCTCCCCTCACCATAATTAAAGCAATTCAGGCATTTAGCATAATTTAAATTAAAAAAAGGTGGGTAAGTGGATGTCGTTCTGCCGTACAGTAGGTTGCAAGTGGGTCACTGTCATGGATGATGTTAAATTTGAATTCAACGATATGATATCATTGTATAAGAAAATAGATTCTGAATGAAAACGGTCGGTCAGCCTATGATATTACCAAGTATATTTGATGATGTTATTGGGAATAAAGTAATTTATATACCTATAACCTTTTTACGCGGAACCTTGTTTTAAATTTTCAATCCTTAGCTATAAAATTTGAACATTTTATAAATTTTTAACTACAAAATAATTATTACATAATAAATTTTGTCAAAATTCGATCTTTAAATGCTTATATAAAAAAAAATTGTGCTAATGTATTTTTAATATTTTTCAACTGATATTGTAACAAGAAGTACTTTAATTTTTGTCGGTTGCTAAGGTCGTTTTGATGAAAAATTAATAGGGTTTGCAGGGACTTTAAACAAGATGTTATTATACTATAATATTACTCTTAAATCATTAATTATAGATGATACATTATTTAAAGAAATATTATTAATTTTACAGTTTGTTATAATAGGATTTTTTTGCTGAGTAAATTATTTTAAACAATATTTATTAATAATAATTTCAAGTATATTAGCAACCATAAGTAGAACCTTCAACCTATTAATGTAATTTTGAAACAAATGACAATCCTCATAAGTGTTAATATAATAGTATAATGATCATCTTCAAATAATAAATATTTAGCATATAAAAGTATTTTATCCAGGTAATTTACAAAAAATAAAAAAGAGAAAATATATGATTAATCTGTAGTACTCATGACCGTTGACCTAACTTTAAATGGAAATGAGGAATAATAGATGATAAATGATTAAATATTATATAATGCTCAAATAACATATCTTAGTTTTATTTTAATTTATCAATAACCATGTTTGCCTACATGTATGTTATTTAGTCTTAAACATAATGCTTAATTAATAAATAGTTTCAATATACACTTAAATCATAATTTAAAATAAATAGTTATTCATATTTTGATGTTTTCCTCTTGGTCGATAGTTGAATGATCAATAACTTCTAAATAACACAGAAATAAAAATAAATCGTTAAAAATTTCACTTTTATGTCATATATTTTGATTCTTATAATAAATTACAAAAGAAAAATGTAATAGTTGTTATGTTACTCACCACTGACTTCTTGTCCTTCCAGAATACGCCAAATCATATCTCCATATGTGTTTCCATAATAATCATCATCATCACTGGGGCAGGAAGAATCCGAGTCTAGGATAGCGCTCAATCTCGGTAATGTTGACGTAGTATCCTGTGGTTCTTCTTTTTTGGCATGCTTTTCTGTGTTTAAAAAAGTTACTATTTGTTATAAATTATGTATATATTATATACCATTATTTAACAAAAAAATATTTAAAAATAATATTACTTAATATCTTCCTCCTGGATAGCTTTAGTCTCTTTTTATGATGACAGTTATTGACATGTTTGTCAAGGATTGGTGGTTCTGAAAATTCAACCATATCCTCTAGAATATCTTCATTTCTACCTGGGAATGCTCTGGTATTAGTATTTTTATACCGGTTTTTTTTCGGACTTTCAATGTCATTGTATTTTTGTTCTACTGTAGTAACATTTTTAGCAGCGTTTATCTCTACTATCGCTCTAGAAAGGTCTGGCTTATGTTCTGTTACAACATCTCGACCTAAACACAAATTACTCAATTTGTTAATGTATGCTAATTCGTTACGCATCTGATATTCCATAAGTTGTAGTCTATTGGATGGATCAAAGTCTTTGCGCTCTTCGTATTCAACTTTAAAACACTTATCAGCGACACGGCCCATAAACTTGCGGACCTCTTCTCTTGGATAGTTGGCCTGTAAGAATATTTGAATTAAATAAATTAAGATTTTTTGAACCAAACACAGATGCTTTCAGTAGACTCACTTCTAAACAAGGGTTAATGGCTGTAGCTGCAACTGTTATTTTTCTTCTGGTTTCCAGTCGGTAAAAACAGAATGCTGGGTCCCGTAGACCTTCATTAAAACAACTGTGGACCAATTCTTTAGTGTTGAAGTAATCAATGGGTACCATTTTTATATTGATCAGATACTGTTTAAATGGCTGAGTCACATTGATGGTGTACAATAAGTAAACGGCACCTATTCGTGCTTCTCTCGATTTAGATCTCAAAAACTTGGTTGCCACTGCATGAGAGTCCTGTGAGGTTGTGATGTAATGATGTGGTGCTAAAAAAGTGTGCTTTTTTTCCCTATTGGGCTTAGCATAAATTTCATGGAACTTCGAAGAACTAAAAACTTCTAAAAACGAACTGTACAATAATGTTTTTTTTTTGATAAACAAGTCAATTAAGTTATAAGAATCGATGAATAAATTTGAGTAGTAGGTACGCAGTTCCCTCGAAACTTTGATAGCATTGTGGGCATATTTCTTCTGTTTGTATGTAATTGGGAAAACCACTTCATCGTCTTCACTGCTCTCTTCATTACTTGAACTGCTGTACTCAAATTCTGACATTTTTTTTAGCTACCTGAAAATCAGAAAAATAACTGATCTTGAGTGCCAATGCAGGTATGTTTTGATTGGATTTTTGTTTCAACTTTACAAAATTTGTGTAATAGTCGTAATATTACCTTCTATGGTTATCTACCGAAGTAGAAAATAAAAGTATATAATAACAATGAGTACCTATTATAATATTATAATAAATTAATCTACCAATTTTATATGACAATAAAATTATTTCAATAACTATTTGTGAATTAGGAAATGTAATTATCACAGTAGCAAATTGCATTAAAAGTATGTTATACCGACATATTTTGTTGTCTCTGCTTACAATTGCGCAACATAACACATTTAGCTATGGTAGTTAAAAAACTAGTGAATTTACCTCTTTTAATATATAAAGGTAAGATTATTATCTATGCAATGTCATAAGCTTTTCTGTATACCAATTTCAAGATGTACAAATAACAATTTTAAAATACTCATAACTCGCTTTAAAATAAAAATAAAATAAAAAGCCTACGACATTGCCTAGACAATAATCTTACCTTTAAATTTTATAAGAAGTCAACTCACTCTAATGTTTAAAGTAATGGAGCTAAATGTGATCTGCTAAGCGCAAAATTTACCATGTTACGCACTTGTAAGACGGAGAAAACAATTAATGACGGTGTAATGTCCTCTCAAGGAATTTGGATTAAATAATATTAGGTCATTGATTAAGGAAACATTTAAGCAATTTAAACAATTATCGAGCTTACTTGATCAATGGTTAGGCATTGTTACGACAATATTTGGACCTATGACGGGAAGTGACAGTTTTTTGTATGCGTACTTGCTCGTTTGCAATTTCGATGACCCAAGCGTGTTCGGAGATGCATTGCTAGACATCTGCCATATTCATAAAACGGTTTCGAAGTTCGAGCACAGCCGCAAACTGCAAAACACCGCCGAGGAAGAGGGACTAGAAAGACCGTTTTGTTCCAACTTCAAAGGTTTCGAGTTTTCGACCACTATCTATAGCGGATTTTATGATAAAAATTGATAATAATATTGTTATCAAAAGAACACACGTCAGTTGTGTTGCCCACACGGACCACGTTAAGGGGCAACAAGTTCCGTGATTATCCAATTCGGTACAATACTTCACAAGTAGCTGATTACTCGTTACCGACGTTACTGTGGATCATGACGACAAACGCATTGCCGGCGTTAGAAATTGCCAGGGCAAAATGATATAAAATAATATTTTGTTGAATTATCGTTTATAATAAGTCTTATACAAATTATAATATTATGTAATACATTTATTTATGAAATGTTTTAAAACTGAGATTGCACCGTCAATGTGGATATTATATTATTACGCTTTATGTTTTAAATGCTGTACCTAAACATTTTCAAAGGGACAATTTGTAAATATCCGATCTCTAGAGACCGAACGTAACTTTTGGACGAAGTTTACTAGGTACCAGAAAAAGTGTCTATAGACAAAAAAATAAAATTCATTGTAAAACCAATAAATATGATCCTTCGCTTCACTCATAATCTAAAAATAAAAAAAGAGATTTAAGAGTGGTTTTGTAAAAGATACCTATAAAATAGTACTATTATAGTCCATAGTAGATTATTAAATCATTATATTGAAATGGACTAAAACTTCATTATGCGCGCCTCATAATGAGTAATTTATTTTTCGATTATTTGGTAAGTATCTAATTAATTATTAGCATATATTTTTATTCTGAAAAGCGCAATCTATAAGATACGTGAGCCTGAATAAACCAAGCACAGTCTTCTTTTCACACCGCAAAGTTTAATAATATGTACCTTAGGTTTGCGCCAAGTATTTAAAACAATGTATAATTAATCATAATATTTTATATGTACTTCATATTTATTATAGGTAGTATTTATACCTATTTTAGCGTAGTTTATACTTTAGATATACATATAGGTATTAAATATTTTAGTATATCTTTGATTATAATATAATATACTGATATACTTTAATATAAATTGGTTGTAATCAAGACACGCACAGTCTAAAAACGTTCTATTTATTTAAATTAATTTGAATTACAATAAAATAAGAAAATAGTTTGATGAGAAATCGTTATTTTACTCGAGAATATCCTATTTCATGTACTGTTGAGAGGCGTATGCTTACAAATGGGAACTTGTTCTGTGTTCATTTATATACTCTGAAGTTTGAAGACTAGGCCTGGGTCTGTATATTATTAAAGTATTATGTATTATAATTTTCATATAAATCCAATGCTAATTTGCCTGACCTAGGGTGGATAGTCCTTACATATAGTCCTTATAAGCTTATACATTTTCCATATATCAATGTTTAGGTTTCAACGGACACTGCAGTGGCCTCCATTGACTTATATCGTGTTATTCCCCAAACACATAATCATTATAATTTTGTTTTAATTTTTAAGATATTCTAATGAGGAGTGCTTATCAGTTGTTTTAATTAGGCAACGTAAATGAATACAAAATAGAAGTACCTATAGGTATATTTAGTATAAGTAGAACGTTCTTACAAACATAAAATTACAATATGATACAACAATTATTAGGTACCTTTATCTATTGTATCTTTTAAGTTTTGTGACAATTGTTTTTATTTGTTTCAAAGTTGAAAAGACTATTTTATTAGCTTGAAGATGATTGTAAATTTAATACTGACTTTTGCTATGGTCGCGTTAATTTCCACTTATCATGGTGTTCGTGGACTCGACAACGGATTGGCTTTAACACCACCGATGGGATGGCTCGCGTGGGAGAGATACAGGTGTATCATTGACTGTGAAAAGTATCCCGACGAATGTATCAGGTAAATCAATAGATGTATTTCGATCCATCAAAATCAAATTTCGGCCAAGTAGTTTATTAATAAATTATAAGTGTTTAAACTTTAAAGTTTAGAAGAGCGAAGTATAGTGGACAAACATTTTCACTCTGCTCATTAATACTTTAAAATACTTAGGTATATAACTTATAAGTCATAATACTCATAAACTACTCTTCCAAAATATGGTTTTTTTTTTTTTTATTCAAAAAACCATAAAAAATTACATAGGATACAAAAAACATTGAGTTAGATTTCATGATTATCTATCTCTTTTAAGCTTTAAGCTGTTGTATACGTATTTTGATATTCTTATATTGGGCAGAAAAAAAGGTGATATAATTTTTTTTAATTCACCCCTCCCCCATGTATGATTTCTAGATCCGCTACTGATAGTAGCTGATACTACAAATCGTCCGAGAAACAAATACTATTTAAGTATAAAAAATTAAAAAATATAAAAATAAAACAATTAGGTATTATTAAAACAATTTTCCTGACTGATGTTTAATAAAAAAAAAAGGAAGTCATAAATAATGAAAATTTACAAACTAATATTAGAGAAGCATCATATTTTGAAATATTAAAAATATAATAATTTATTCAAATGCTTATAATTTCTTATAGTTGTTAATTAAAAGCGTATATTATTATAATATTATAGGTTACAAACTAGATTTTTCATTAACAGATGACATCAGCTGCAACCTCTAAAAACAAAATATGTTAAAAAGTATAAAGAGACAATGTTAAGCACCTATATTTATTAACTGAACTCAATTACCTCGATGTGTTAATTTTATTTTTGTGAATTACAGACTTTTTTCTCGTATTCCCCATTTTAATTGTATATTTTAACTTACACACTAAAATTATGTTTTTTCGGAAACTTTCACACATTTTCCGTTAACAATTGTTAACTATTAATAGTTTATCATTTTATTTTATTTTTATGTTATTCGACTTACATATAGGTACCTATGTATTTTTAATTATAAAATGAAATAAACTCTGCAGTACAATATTATACATGACGGAAAGACAAATATTTAGAAGTTTAGAACTATTTTTTTTAGCGAGAAGCTGTTTATGAGAGCGGCGGATTTGCTGGTCAGCGAAGGCTACGCAGACTTGGGTTACGAATACGTCATTGTGGACGACTGTTGGTTGGCCACGAATCGATCAGCAGACGGTATGTTAGAAGCCGACAAGAAACGATTCCCAAGCGGCATCAAAGCTCTGTCAAACTACGTAAGTAATGTTGCAAGTGTATTTTATGAACACTGATATTCGATTTATTTGTTAAAGTATTAATAAATCCCAACAGAAACACTCCGTCAAACTTCTCCGCTCTTACAACTTTTATAGCCGTTTTTTTTTTATATACTAAGCGTTTTTTTATATAGAGTTTGGCGGAGTGTTTTTGTTGGGATATCACTCATTTATTTGTTAATAGGTGCCTTATTATTTGTAAGGCATTGTTACGTGACTAGAAATAATTAATAACGTGCTCTAAGATAGAATATATTATTAAGAAATAACTTTTTTTGAAAACACTTACCTAAATTTATTATGGTAGTTACAGTTGAGTACACGGCAAAAAATACGTGGTTTTAAATTTGAATAATATGATAATATCGTGATTGAGAGTGCATTTGGGCATTTGGCCTCAGCAACGAGAGTAGTGGGATGTATATAAGCGGCGGTTCGGGAGGACAATATTATATTTTACGATATTTTTGTTTCATACGAAAAATTGGAATTAAAAGTACTTGAACATTTTTGGTTTTAACTTTTAAGCCATCCAATCAATTTGCTTCCCCGGTTCCCATCTGCACAATATTTCTGATCGATTGATACCTTTTATGGCTTTTTATGTTTAACCGTTTGCCTTCTAGGTAGATTATCATCAATTAGAACGATAATTTTTTACGTTATAAATTATAATATAGTAATGTATCACTGCAGATACACTCGAAAGGACTGAAGTTCGGTTTGTACCAAGACTTGGGCTCGAAAACGTGCGCTGGTTTTCCTGGAGTGTTGGGCAACGAGGCGAAGGATGCCAAGCGATTCGCGGAGTGGGAAGTCGATTACGTAAAACTCGATGGGTGCTTTTCGGACGTCAGGGACATGGACAAAGGTACCCTATGGCCTATATGATATTGTTTGGATTCCGATACGTAACTAAGAGCGAAAAAGAAGCAAAAAATTGACCCACCAAAAATAAACGCTTATATAAATCATATTTGTATGACCTAACGTCCTAACCTATATCATAGGTTTAGTTTTAAATACCTAATAGGTATAATGACTAACCATAAACGTTAAACGTTCATTATTGAGGGTGTTTAACCTACAACTTACTAAATATAGTATTTATAGGACACAGTGTATGGGAGTTGGGTGATCACCACTACATTTTTCTTGCATTTCCCCCTGGATCGCATTCATCTTAATAAAGCATGAAAAGTAGATTTTAAGTTCAGACGAATCCATCTTAGTCTTTTATTTATGAATTATTATTAACCAATATCAAATTTAAATCTAAGAATATTATCCGGTCCCCACATACGCTTGTCGTCTTGGTATCTTAATTTTGAAGTAAGTTATGAGCAATTTACAAAAAGTAACTATTAAGACGGACTAGGACGTCATCTTATCCTCATTACATATTTGTTTTAAAATAACTAATAAACGAGATCTTTTATTTATAGATAATATATAACCAACAGTTGTAACACTTATCGTCTAATCGTACGAGTTAAAGGCTTAGTCAGCAGCATTACTGACTTAGGGGCCAGGGCCCGTTTTACAATCATAGTTTAAACCTCGGTTACGCTTGAACCACTGATTTTACCGGCCGAATTCGGTGGTTTAACCGGAGTTCAACTATTGTAATATGGGCCCTTAGTGACATAGTGACATACAGGTGTCTAATAATACATGTATAATGTACATTTTCTACGCCACAGGTTACGTTGAATTCGGAAAACACCTGAACAATACTGGGAGACCCATGGTTTACTCGTGCAGCTGGCCGGCGTACCAAGAATTCAAAGGCATGAGGGTAATTTTTGAAAAATAATAACATAAATAACATGCACCTAACAGAATTATTTTGTAGTTTAATATATAATTATTTTAAAACAAATGGCAAAGTTGGTAACCGCTTTGCTGTACAATAGGAATGTAGAAGTAGAATGTACCTATACCTACTACGTCAGCATTGAGTAGTTGTAGCCTGTAGGTCACTGTAAATTGTATAATGAGTAGAGTAAAAAAGAGAGTTCCAAAACCAGAACCTGCTGGCAGATCCCTATGCTCGAGAGCAGAACCCTGACACCGAGCAGCAGAACCCCCCTACACTGCAACGATAAACCCTTATCTATTAATCTATTATGGGTTATATATAAACATTTTTACTAAAAAAATATACATTGACAACTAAAATCAATCATTTCGGTTTATATGGTTTAAATGATTTTCCACTTCTTAATTTTGGACATATTTTTATGTAAACACAAAACACTGGACAGATGCTACGCGAGTGCTCATGTAGCCGACGTAAATCCAATATCGTTAATTAGTATTCGTCTTTTTGTGTTAACACATAAAAAATATGTCGAGAATTAAAAAACCAAATCATAAAAGTAATCATTTTAATTGCATGGTTAAGTATTTTATTTTAATATTTGTTTTTTTTTTGAAAATAGGCATATATTTTGTTGACATTTTTGTATGCAGTATTTCTATTAATAAACTATCTATAAAGTAAATTATTTACTTAATCTTAAATGTCAGGACGACAGACATAACATTTTATCAATTGTCATACTTGAACACACTTTATAACGTTGGCTAAAAAAGTATAGTTTATACCGAGTTCATGGAGTCAAATTAAATAATATTATAAAGTCTCAATATATATTATTATTGTTTTCATATATAATAGCTTTATCTGTCACCATATAATTTTTATAAATCATTTACTTACAGTGTGTGATGGCGTTGCAAATGTGACTCTATTTTTGCTCAGTGACTATTCTACCTACGTAAATGGTGTTTCAATTATACAATTTGTTTTATTGAATAAAATTAATAAAATTTTAATATTAGGTAACACATGTGTTATAGGTAGTAATAAACGATGAAATTATTACATTTTTGTTGTGATATTTCTCAATTAATCTACAAATGACTGATTTTATTTAAATAATAAAACGCATTTTAGTATTGTAGTTGAACAGTATAACTTAAAAATAGAAATAAGATTTTAATAAATAATTATCAGAGGTAGGTACCTATATATATTTTTTTTTAAATTATTTTTTCAGAAAGAATACTGGACAGGTCTTAAAAAATCCAAATACATTCTCGTTTTACAAAAACTATAATAATCTTGTTGGCCTGGAATTCGAGAGTGTTTGAAATATAAATACTAAGTTTTTGCATATCAGGCGACAGTTCTCAGTATTAATTTGACCGTTGTATAGCGAACACACATCGCGAATAATTTTTCTAACTCGCCTACTTTTCGTCTGATAGTTTGACTTCAGAACTTATATATTTTTCAAAACAATATGATTTCGATTACCCCAGAAGTTTCGGATATTGTCAACAACATCCAGTCTGAATCTAACGCTGTTATTCTGACTGATTCCCTGTCTGCGGCCGAGTCATCAGTGCAGAATATGACACCCGCAACTCCAGCACATGTTGGCGACGTCGAGACTCTGCCATGTGCAGTATCGTCGGCTCTACCACCGGTTCGACACGTGAAAATACGCTCCATCTCTGATTCTACATACTGAACGCTGCATTTTGATTCCGACGTGTCATTTTCGACAGGCCGAACCGGTGGTGGAATAATTGGACTTTGAACTTTTGAATTTGAACTTAAAATGATTATGAAAAAAAAATCTGACAGTGAACACCAATAATCCTATTAATAACAAATCATCTCGTAATACAGATCGATTATGCTTCAATAGCTGAACACTGTAGCCTGTGGCGCAACTACGGAGACATTGACGACTCGTGGAGCTCCGTTATGGACATCGCCGATTATTTTGCCACGAAACAAGAATTCTGGGCTCAGTACGCGGGACCCGGACATTGGAATGATCCGGACACGGTACGTCGTTGTATTTATATATATTTTTATCATTATCATTATCCACAACAAAGTAAGTTTTTGCAATAAGTATTAAGTTGGCGTATCTGAGTTAATGTTATAACTTATATTCAACATTATTTTATTCTGTAACGATCCACGAACGTTATCGGCTTTTCAAACATTTAGAGATTTGGGGCCCCATAGGAGGATGCATCTAAAGTATCCGATTTCAAAAAATTATATTTATTTTAAAACTGAAGATAGAATATGGTGGAAAGAAAGTAAAATATTTTTTTATTGCGATTAACCGTTGCCGAACTATAACAGTTCGTAATCGGATGAAGACTTTTGAAACCCCCTGTATCATAGGTATAAAGTAACGTGCTGGCTGACTGATTCATCATCGTCGAGCTGGAAGCCTGGAACCGTTTTAGCCTATGAATATGAAACTTTGTCAGTATAGTTTCGTTTTATGATACAGTGACCCACTAAAAAGGATTATCCAACATTTTCATTTGAAAGAGGTTCTCTGCAGACAAGGATTTTGAGATTCACATTAGAAATAACATTGTTATCATGGTTATCATTATTTACTCAGACAGATGATATAAGATCCGACATCGCACCTTATACATTTTTAGAAGAGTATATACCAAGAAATAACTATGTAGTTTAGTGTTTGAGTGAGTTCACCTATTATCAAACTTAGTTAAAGTTAAAGAACATTATCTATATTATGTTTGTAGTACAAACGCTATACATTATATTTTAATATGAAAGTGAGATATTATCATTTTTAAACTGTAGTAGTGTAGTCATATACATGAGTACATACTCGTACCTTGCATAATAATTTTATTGAAATACCTGTCGTAAAATCCTAACATACAAGTAAATAACTATAGATAATGTTCTTAACTTTATGTTTGATGACAGATTAATTCACTCTAATAAATATGAAAGCAGATATCACTCAGGTTGGTTCTGCTGAATGAAAATTTATTATATTGTACTTGAGTCAGAGAGAGAGAGAGAAAATAAATAGGGTGAGGACACCCCCTTGAGGGAATTTCCACCTATGTGGATATACATTTTCACATTTATCATTCATTATCTTTGATTGTGTAATACATTTTAATTATTATATCAATAAGTTTATCACTAGACACAAGACAATACCATTAAAAACTAAAAAGTTACCTACTTTATGATTAAATTCATTAGAAAATATGAGATTTTTAGTAATATTTTATTCGAGATTCTCAATTGTTAGGATAATAGTGGATTGTGAAAACGATTGATTTTCTGACTTGATAACGCCGTGAACGTTATTGTTTTATTGTAATAACTTAGCCAGCCCATTTTTAACATTCATTAAACACAAAAATGAATTTTTTTTTTTTTTTGTTATAAATCCGTAGATTTGTTTGTTGCAGCTCTCCATGCTTCTCTATCGTAGCACAATTCCTTCAGGTCTTTGTAACTTCCCTTGTTCGTATCCTGCATTATCTGTGTCATGTATTCTGTTCTTGGTCTTCCTCTTGCAATGTGTCCTTCAACATCTCCTTCAATTATTTTCTTTAATAAACTCTCATGCCTTAAAATGTGTCCTATCATCTTGCCTCTTCTTGATTGAATACTTTTCCATATTTGTCGTTGTTCCTTTATTTTGTCTAGTACTTCTTTATTCGTTACCTTCTCAGTCCATGGTATTTTGAGCATTTTCCTGTAGCACCACATCTCAAAGGCTTCTAGCCTATTTTTTTCCGTTGAGTTTATTGTCCAGGTTTCGGATCCAAAGAGCGCTACGCTCCAAATATAACTTTTTAGGAATTTCTTCCTTATTTCCAGGCTAACACTATTGGTAGTTAATATGTGGCTTTTGTCTTGAAATGCTCTTTTCGCCTGTGCTATCCTACAGATTATATTTGTTTTGCTGCGACCATCCTCTGTTATATTGCTTCCTAGATATGTGAATTGTTGCACTTGCTTTATTTGTTCATTTCCGATATTTATGTTGAGTCGAACCGGATTAGTTTTACTGCAAACCATAAATTTTGTTTTCTTTTTGTTCAGCTTCATTCCATACTTATTTTTTAGTATTCTATCTATTGTTACTAGGGTATTTTGCAGGTCGTCTTCTCTTTCAGCACAAAAAGCTATGTCATCCGCAAATCTTAAGGCAGTCACCATTGTTCCTCCTATTCGCACTCCTTTCTGTATTTCTTCTCTCAATTCTTTCATTGCCTCTTCAATGTACAAGTTGAATAGCATTGGTGACAAAATACAGCCCTGTCTTACACCTTTTTTTATTTTTGCTTCTTGCTCTTTCCCATCTATCTGTATTATGACTGTTTGGCTTTTGTATATATTAAAGATATAATGAATAACAAATTATTATTTATTATTCTATGAATTTTGTTTCAATATTGTTTTGAACGTATTTGATTCAAATAATCGACTTATTATTAATATCAATCATGTAAGTCCCGAATCCATTGTGGCGTACATGTACGTTTCTGTGTTTGACTTCTATATAGTGCACAACACGGCTTTGCGATTATAATTACATATTTACATACCGCAATAACATACATTTAACATTTAGCAATAAACATTTTTGAAAAAATTCCACACTTAAAATGTTGCCACCTGGGAGCCATTCCCCTCTGCAACCGCCTAAACACGAAACAAATTTTTGCAGCTCTTGATCGGAAACTTCGGCCTGTCGTTCGACCAAAGCAAATCGCAAATGGCCATTTGGGCCGTGTTGGCCGCGCCCTTGCTCATGTCCACCAAGTTATCTGCCGTACGTCCGGAGTTCAAAGAAATCTTGCAGAACAAAGAAATCATCAAGATCAGTCAAGACACTATTGGCGTGCAAGGCACTAGAATATTTAGGGTGAGCGCTCCTAACGTCTATCAAACCATACTTATATGAAATTACTTATAAGTTATAAGTTATAGTCTATATTATAGATACCTGGTAGTTGGTACATATTATATTAAAGTGCTATACCCGACGAGAAGGTAGGTAAATAATATTAGTATTATTATATTATTATAATAAAGTTGTGAGCTTGACATATTTAACTGCCAATATTTATATTTTGTGTTCATGGGTGAGTGGGTGTGGATACTTGCCTTATCCCTAAGTGATAAATTATGGAGTAAATTATATGTTTTTAATATTTTCGCTAGTTACGAGGTATAAATTTATTGTAATAATTATTATACTATACTATCTATACCAAGGGGGTCACCAATTAATATTTTCGAAAAGCCCCATTATGAATCTGGAAATTGTTCGTGGGCCATCAAAATTGCTGACATCTGTAAAAACCAATGAACATTAATGATAAATTAACACTAGAACGTATAATACTATAGGTTTTTTTTTCTTGTCTGTAGATCGGATAAAATTTGTCCGTGCACGGCCACTATTGATAACCACTGGTCTATACATTTTCATAAATCATAGTACAATACAGTCATATAATTACTATGTAAAGTACAAAACAATTATTACATATTTACATGTGACTATTGAATGATGTGTGGGTGAAGCAGCATGCTCACTCTGTAATCATGTGTCAGTGCCACGATCATAAGAATTAGGTACCTAGGTACTAAAAATATGGGGCTTTATAGCACCTCCAGTTTTGTCATTGATAATAGTTACCATTGTTAAAGTGTGTAATCACCATTTTCACAAAGTACCTAAATCAAAGCAAATTTTTGCGTTCAGCAATACTGGCAGTTTTGTGAAGTTAGAATTATAGACTATAGTGAATGAACCTAGTATCTAACTATCAAACCAAAGGTAAGAACATATTATCAGTGTTTTCTCTAGGGTATTTAAATATATTTTAATTTTTAAACATAAAATGTAAACCAAAAAAATGTGAATAAAAACTGATAAATGTTCCTACCTTTCAGTAACCTCGTTCTTTTCTAACACTGAAATTTAAAAATAAATATTTAGGCAATATTTTTAGTTATTAGTTCACGTGTTCGTTCACACAATTAATTTTTAAAAGTCACAAATATCCTAAACATCCCCCCAAAGTAAAATGTGGTGATGAATAACCAAAAAGGTAATATTATAATAATATACCTAAAGTTTAATTAGGGATAAATCGATAACCAAAGTTAGGAAATCCGATGTATGATATCGATTATTGACCATTCAATTTCAACTTAAAGGCAATACTCAGTAAATTAAACAAATACACACCGATTACCCATAATCACTGCTGCCCACCGGCATCACTTAAATCGCTGATTTTTTTTTATCATTTTAACAGTATTTTTTTTACATTTATACTGTAGGAATTTTCAACAGTAACATAATATTATATACCGTACGTAAATACGTAATACACTAATAAGTATAATATAATAATATATTGTGTGAACATTTTAAATTTTTATAAAAAAGAAATTTAAATTATTTATTTCCTATTTTCGATCTGTAGTATTTCTAACTATTTTCTCGTATGATGCGATTCAGGACGAGGATATTGACATTTGGAGCAGACCGGTAAGACCTGTTTACAACGGATTTTGTTCTTGTGCTGTAGCGTTCGTAAGTCGTCGCGCGGATGGTGCTCCTTATGCTTACAAAATTACAGTGGAACACTTGGGGCTATTAAATCCCAACGGTTACACAATCAAGGTAAATATTTTTAAGTTTCTTACGTCTTACCCCACTGTTTTTTAACGTGTGAACAGAACGCAATATTATTATGAGACACAATAACACCTTGTCCTGTTGTATCTTAAATACCTACTTTTTTTTTTAATTTATTCAAAATTGTATTCACAATCTGTAATAATCACACACAATTAGTAAATTTGGTAAAATAAGATACAACAACATGAAATTATGTGAGGATCGAAGCCCCACCAGGGTGGGAACCTTTTGACTTGTGGGGGGGAGACGTTTTTAGTTAATTTATACTGGTCGGAATTCAGGAGATATCGACACCAGTGTATTTTTAGGATGAATTCACTGGCTAAGTTAGATAATATGTGGAAAAATCAGTGGATTGGTGTGGAATTTTTTTAAGTAGTATTTAGTTGCAATAGACACTGTTTCAATTTTTAATTCTTTGTGTAATGAGAGGTTTGTGAGTTGTGACGTACCATGGAGCAAATGTTATTTGGTGAAGATAGATAAACTGGAAGATCTGCAAGGTACATATTTTGGAAAGCTCGGAAAATCCCCATATTTGGATACCATATTCCCAGATGGGTTTTAGTATTGATTTATATATTCATTTTTAGGTGTGGATCCCAAGTTAAAAGCTTGTCTAAGATTAAACCTAAATATTTAGTTTGCGTTGTCGTTGGGATTTGGTTGTGTTAAAATTAAATTGCAGGTAGAACACTTTTTCTTAGAGTGAAAGGAATATGAAATAATTTATCTGAATTGATTTTGATTCTCCGCTTAGAAAACCATTTCGATGTATTATCAAGATGAATTTAAAGGTTTTGGTATATGTTTTTGGGGAGTCGTTATGTTATGAGAGAATAAATGCCAAATACTTATTAGTTGCTACAGTGCTCAGATTTATATGTAAATTAATATATTTTATACAAGTAAACCTACCTACAGCTTATAAACTTTGAAGTTTTAAATACGTTTCAACAGATTTTTAGTTCAATAATCTGAGTTTTATATTTCCTACATAATATGACTTCATTACATTGAGTATTATTTTAATATTCAATATTTTGGTCGGCTTTAATATTCTACTTTTGAAATCGTTTTTTTTTTTTTATTAGAGTATCGACTGTCGACTATCGACACCCACCTGCATCATACAATGAAATCCAAACCTACCTTAAAACGATTTTTCTCCCACGTACCTACCAGACTACCATATCCCAATACCGAGCACACCATTAAAGTCACGTGCGATTTGCAGAACTTTTTTACGTATTTATAGTAATACCTAATTATATTTTATTATTATATGTTACAGAATTTATATGGTGGGAAATACGCAAACAATATCAATAATCAATATGTCTCGCGAAAGTCTGTAGTTCGTGTTCGAGTTAATCCGTCAGGTAAATGATATCCTACATTACAAAATTTTTTAAAAATAGTTATATTTATATTATTTGTTATAGTTTAATTACTTGTGTTTTCATTGCTTATAAGACAATGTACATTTTTTATTTAATTTAAAGCAGGTTTAATTAAGAATTTTGATTTATAAAAATTGAATTTCAAAAGAGAAGGTAGTTATAATTAGTTATAACTTGAAACTTAATTATATATATTATAATAGATATTTAAATTTTAGATGAGCACGATAATAATTTTATAGTAGACCAACATTTTTCTTGTACCGTTGTATCCCTGTCCCTGTGCTAATCGCTCCACTTATTCCCACCTATATTATATGTTAATTATTTATTAAATATTAATTATCATAACTGTAAAAACTCATTCAAAATTTAATTTTCATAAATCGAAGTTCTCTATAAAATATTCTGCTTTGGCCGCTTCGAAATATAAATAAATAAATAAAAATATAAATATAGTAATATAACTAAGAAAAAAATATAACATTAATGTTCTGTAATGATTTCAATAACTATGTAAGTATGTAACGATTAGACATATTTTAAGCAATGTTACCTACCGAACACTGTTTGAGTTAATGAGTGTTTATATTGTTGAAAGTTAAAACATTGTACATTTGTACCTAAGCATTTATATACATTTTCGTCTTTTTGAATTAACATAATATAGTAACAGCCGGCTTATTAAAATATTTATAATATTAAAATTATATAATTTAATCTAGGAGTTGTGTTCCTACGATTCGACGTTAACAAGTTGAAGGAAGGAAATGTAACTGCACTCAACCACACGGTAGAATTTACATAAATTCAATATCGTACCTATGGCTATCACCTATTATCGGGAGATAATAATATTATAAGTTGTTCATAATATATTGTTGTATTTTCAAACTTTTACAAATAGTTTACAAATATCGTCAGTATCAACTATTAAATGTGTCTCTGTAATTTAATTAGTTTAATATTGAGAAAAATCTGAACCTCAATAAATTAACATCACAATAAAATGATGATGCAAATAATTTAATATACCTATTTATAATAATTTTACATGATATTTCAGATTATTATATTTCAACTATGTGGCTACAAAAATTAAATTCACTATAAATTTCAATTTTCAACTCACATCAGTTAGATGATCTGCTTTATTTATCTTAAATTGTAGGCCGTGGACCATGGTCTGTAATTGGGCAATAGACATTCTATGAATTATAAACATGTATACTAATGTCTTATAATTTACCTATCTAATAATTTTAAATACCTACCTAATTTTGTTTTTAATAGCATTGATTATAAATACTAGTATGATAATAATTAATAGGTATATAATATAATTTTTTTTTATTCAATTAAGTGTAACCTACCTATTGTTTACAAACCTATTTTTACTGATTCCTTGGCTATTTGTCATTGTTTTTTTGTAAAAATTATAAGGAATCGGTCTGATTTAACAGAAGTAATGTAATAGTAGAGTTCAGGAAATAATTCTAAGGAACGTTTAAATTAAATAGATTATGTTACTACAGCAAGTTTAAATATTGAAAGCTTCATTTTCACGTCTTCGATGAAATGATACATATCTATTATCTATAGATTTAGAGATCTTAAATAACAAGCAAAAGTTCTATTGCAGTCAAACCCATTCAGTTATAGGTAACTAGAGCAAGGACTTTCGTGCATTTGCATATTTTTCTTGTTAATTTTATCGTATGCTTAATAAGTATAAAATTTAAAATACAATTCAAATAGTTTGTGATCAAATACTCAATTTTTTTAGTGCATATTTTTACATAGTTTGAATAAATCAAGCATTTCGGTAAATATTTTTGGTAAATCAAGGTTATCAGTTATTTAATTAAGGACGGCATAGAGACTGATTGTTATTTTAATGGTCAGTGGATAGTGGGTAGTTTAGATTACAATAATAATATAGTCTATTGTCTGTGGTGCAACACAAATTTTATCAAATAATTTATTACGTACCTACATTTAGTTGTAGTTTTTTTTAGCTCATATATTAAATTGTTTGATGCATTAGTTCATATTTTTAAATGCATAAGCATAAATAATGATGTTTTAGTACATTAAGTCCTCGCTTTAATTATTACTCTTTCTTCTCAAAACATTCCATCTAAATATCTAATACAGACAATATAATCCATTTAAAATAGGCGTTAAGACGATACAACACGTATGTATGCTGTCTCCGCCTTACAGGGGTGGATATAAAGGAAAGCAAAGAGGGCATTTTCCCTCCCCCAATTGCCGTAATTTCCCTTTGTTTTACAATATGTCACTATGTTTAGCCAATTTTGTAGCAAATATATGTCCTTTTTGTAATTTTACCCCCTCAATGCCCCCCCCCCAAATTAAGCCTTGAATCCGCTACTGCCGTCTTATACAAACGAATGACATGGCAAAATTGTTAAGCATTGCCATTTGTAAGTAGAAACTTTGATTACCTATTACCAAATTTAAATTTAAAAATATTGTCTGTTTCATCTCATGCAGGGTTTTCATATTTTAATTTTTCACGCAAGTTATAAGTAGGAATGTATAAAATATTCCAATTTAAAAATTCTCATAACTTGTTTAAAAATTAAACTATCTTAAAAAATCCAAATGAAGACAATTATCTTACTTTTAAGTTTGATCATTGGTCTTTTCGCTCTATTGTTAAAGAAAACCTATTAAGTATTAACCATAATTGGAAGGGCTGAACTCAAATATTTCCCATGTTGTACGTTTTGAAGACGGAGGCAACATAATATGTGCGAGTGTGGCGTCCAGGCGTCCTTATAATATTACCTAGAGAGCGTTAAAAATAATTACTTCTCCATCTGAAAAATCAAGATAACTAAAATATTCATCACGTGGAGAGAACCAATTGTTCAACTCTTCCTCCTCTCACGCCTTTGAAATTTATTTTATATTTTATCACATACCTATTTTACTTATGAGTTATTTCACAATATTTATTGAGATATTGAGACATTGAGTTATATGTGCAGATTGTATAACTCTCTTGTGAAATTAAAGATTTTTAATAAACTAGGTAGGTACCTACTAAGGAAAGGCACATAAAATAATATAAAATATTATTATGATAGTCAAAGAAAGTTTTTTCGTACAAAATATCGTTTTGCTACAATGCTATAGCATAATTAAAAATATTTAAAAAAAATATATATAGAAAACTTATACTAGGTGTATATATACACTATACACATACTTATTATCTACTTATTAGATTATCAGATTACCATTACCTATTAGCATTGTAGGCATCTTAAATTTATTTTTAAAGTCCCGGTATCGGGAAGTAACATATTGAAAAAAATCCTAACTTAAATACCTAGGTACTTAATTTTATGAATCAAAAGTTCGTTTTGATTAAAGAATATGAATGTGTAGTTAACTATATAAATGTATTTAATATGTCTGTGGGCTGTGAGTTAAATAGTACTTACTAGTTACTGTGAGTTAAACTACTTACACAGTACACACTAATGGACTAATGTTTATCTTGGCGTATAAGCACAGAATATAACACACTACCCAGTACCACGATTATAAAGTTCTTTATAATCGTGCCCAGTATCCACCTATCTAGATTCTGTGATTAGACATCTTTTCTGTTATCTTAAGAAAAGCCGGTTATCAACATTGTTATCACTTTAAATTTTAATTACGTCTCCTGTAAATTGTAATCCGTATTCCATGGTCGTCACTCGTCACTAGTCAGTCGACTATTTTGCTCTACTATTTTGCTCTGCAATACTTCTACTTTTCTATTTAGTCTAATCCATAGACAAGTGTACTCGGCTTGTCCGTGACACCGTGGTACGTCACTCGTCTGGCTGATGGCCATCATTCTGTCTATTCAGTATTCACTTTTTTTCACTTTTATTTTGTACCTAGTTTAATTTAAAGTTTATTCCTGTCATTAGTTTTGATTATTTAACACCTATCTTAACTATTCGAGCCAAATTTCGATTGTGGTGATTAAAAACTTGGCGATCAATTTCATCAATCAGTTGGAATTATAAAACATAAAAATGACTACCAACGGTGACAAATACTGTTATCTTTCCGAATTCAAATGGCTGCAAAAATTTGGGCCATCGTACTCGGTCAAAGCAGAAAATGTAAGTGTATATTTAAACTCAAACGAAGTAACAATGCAACATACATTTAATATTGCTTATTTTTATATTACGGTTGTTCAGATCACAGCGTTAAAAAGCCCCTCGGAGTTCTATCGCACACTTTTAGACCGATGTCGTACAGCAAAACAACGCATTGTAATAGCTTCTTTATACCTCGGCATTGGAAATCTGGAACAAGAACTTGTGAGTAAATTCTGCATGGATTGTTATTATGATGTGACTTATACCCGACTTTGATTTTAGGTAAACACCATAAAAGATGCTATGGATAATAGGCGAAAGTTAAGCGTGAGGGTTTTGTTAGACGCTAATCGTGGGTCAAGAGGTAAAGTAAGTTCGCGTACCATGTTGATGCCCATATTGAATCCATCATTCGATTGTCGTGTAGGTAAATATGGTAAAATATAAATTATACACATTATCTAATATATTAATTATTTGTCATTAAGGTTTATTTGTACCATACCCCAAAATTGAGAGGTCTTCTCCGGTGGCTGTTACCTGAAAGATATAATGAATTAATAGGAATACAGCATATGAAACTATATATGTTTGATGACTCTATAATTATCTGCGGAGCAAATTTAAGTCAAGACTATTTTACTAACCGGTAAATACATTTACCATTAGTTTATTTTTTGGTTTTTAATATTTGTGTTTTCATATTGACATTGTATTACTATTAAAATAACAGTAATTTGTATTAATTGCAATTTTAGACAAGACAGATATATTCTCATTGAAGACTGCAAGCCATTAGTAGATTTTTATATAGGATTAGTTGAATTATTAGGCCGTATGTCATTTCAGCTGACAAGTAAAAACACTTTAACTTTGGATCCTACTTGGAAACATCATCCATATAAGAGTCCTTATCAAACGTATGCTTCAGAGGCTAGAAAACAGTTAATGCAATATTATAATACACACATCAAACATCCAACTTCTGAAAAAGGTAAAATTAAATTTTTTCTTCAAAATATAATGTGTATATTGTATTACCTATGACAACTTACTATTTTCTCATATAATTTTAGATACGGACACAATAGTTTATCCTTTAATTGAATTTCCTCCATTTGACATACACCATGACAGTCAAACAACTAATCTTCTTATGTGTAATGCTGAACCGGGATCTACAATGCACATGGCCACCGGATACTTCAATATACCAGATATTTACACAAATACAATGTTCCAAAAATCATTGGCTAACTTCAAAATATTGTTTTCCCATCCAATGGCCAATTCATTTCAACAAGCTAAAGGACCTGCTGGATTTATACCTACTGCCTACAGTTATCTCACAAATACTTTTTTTGGTGAAATTGAAAAACTCAAACTTCATAAACGTATTTCTTGTTTTGAATACCAAAGAACTGGATGGACTTTTCATTCCAAGGGTTTGTGGTACACTCCAAACAATTATGAATTGCCTGTACTCACAGCTGTTGGCTCTTCGAATTATGGTATCTACCTATTTTTTTCTTTAATTATAGATTTGGGACAAATATAATTTATTTTAACACTTTTTGCATCATACAATTTAGTTTATTTAAAGTTGGAATTATTTTTTTCAGGAGCCAGATCATTGAATTGTGATTTAGAATCGCAATTGATAATAGTAACAAATAATAAAAAATTGCAGAAAAACTTTCATTCAGAGAAAAGTGATATTTTTAAATCAACATCATTATATATTCCAGAAGGTGAATTTCAAGCACCTCTTTGGGTACGATTTGTTTTAAGAATGTTTAAAAATTATTTTTAACTATTTTGAGTAATTTGAGTAAAAAAGTATAAAATTTTTTATTCTTAATACAATTATTGAAATAGTCTAAAATACTAATGCTATTATCGCTTTGGATTTATATATTTCAATTTCCTTATGAAAGTATGTTGATAGCAAAAGAGGAATTGTTAATATAAATTTATATTTGATCACCACTGAACATGAAATAAAAACAACTTTTATTTGAGATAATACAACATTTTTGCTGTAAATAACTCTAGTTAAAACTTAAAAGTTGGGTTGTACACCAGCTAAGATATACAATTTTACTGAAGAAAAGTAGTTTTAGGCAAAGCTCATACTTTAATCTATAAATAGTAGTTATTTAGCGGAAATCAGTACTTAGCTTATAACTGTTTATTATTATTTTGCTACTTTTGTACTTTTCTCAAACACTGTTGAGAAATCATTAAAATTACCTATCTTAAGTACTATTTATGATATATTTATAAAATATCTGAGGTGCTACATAAAATATAAAGATCCCTTTTACTACAAGTAAATAAAAAAATGTTAACTGCAAAAATAATTTATTTTGAAACAAATTAAGTTGATAAGTTCCCTCGTAGAGAAGAATCTATAATGTATTAATTTTATGTAATGATAAAATATATTTATTTATTCAATGATTTTGTATTAATCTTCAATTGTATGTTGTTATTTATAATTTATTATAATTTTATAATAAATTATAAATTATAATATTGTAAAGTTAATATTATTTTAATGTACCTATGTATGTTTTAAAAATGAATATATATTTAAAATATATTAATTTTTAGTTTAGCAAATTTTTTACTTTAGTAAAAAAAAAAAATATAAAACTATTCTTGCCTGTTGATCGCATTTTATTGCATATTTGTGATAAATTCAACTATTTGGTAATTTATTTTATTTGTTATTTGTGTACCAATTTCATTATTTTATTTTTAGGTAACATTTTTTTTTTTTGGTTTTTACAAATCAATATTCTTATACTAAATAATTATTTATTCTTCTTTTAATGTGTGTGTGTTAAATAGTTAATGTGTTTTAGTTATTACTTACCTTACCCACTTATGTATTTGAGTGAATTTTTTATTGATATAAAAAATAAAAATTGTACAAATGAGAACATTAGAGACAAAGTCTAAAACTAATGTTTTAAAAATAGATACCAACTATAGACTTAATTTTTCATAAATAGATAGGGTTACATTAATCTAAAGTAAGTAAGATCCTTTTAATTGCTGAAAATTAAGCCATAGAAAAAAAATCAAAACATATTCCTTGCTTTGCTCAGTTGTGCGATAGGTATAATAGGTTGTACAATAAACTAAAATGCCATTAATTTATTACGCTTATTTTAATTCAATAAGTAATTATATTTTTAAAAATTGAATTGTATTAAATAATTTCTATGATCTAATAAATAATAAATATTGTAAATATGTAAATATATTTTTATTATTGTGTATTTGTGTACAATTATTGATGATCAAACCAAATACTAAACTATTTTTTGTTATAAAACGAACATAATATATACTCTGGTCCAAATAAGAGTGCACCGCTTTGGCTTCTTTCACGTCTAACCTCGTACTACTAAACCGTTAAAATGGTGTGACGATTCACTCACTGTGTATAAACAAGGTGACCATCTGCTGCCGGAACAGACAGTGAAAGAAAACCCTACCATGAGCGAGTTTCGACCGGTTTTCGTCCGCCGCCTGGTGCTCTCTTATTTGGACCAGAGTAGGTATCTATCACCAATTTGTTTGCTCGATATTTTTTATTGAAATTATTTTGTATTGTATTTAGTTATTTACAAATAAAAACTACCTACTTAATAAATAACAATATTGTAATGTACCTATGTAGGTACTAGGTACCTACCTATCCGTATTCACTTGTTATCAAAATATAATATAGGTATAGGTAATATAAGAGTTAATGTCTTGCAATTTTGTAGTTATTTATTTTCTTAACAAAGTGATAAAATATATAGGCAATTCAAGTTAATCTGGAAAATTCATTTTCTCATGTAGACATTGATGAATACATTTATACATGTATGTGGTAGGTATGTAAACAGTACCTATTTGTAATTACTAGTTAGTGATAAGTTTGCGAGTGCGAGCGAGTATCTACCTGTAAAATGAATAATTATATTTGACCTATAGAGTAAAAAACGACCGAACTTCTGGAGGTAGAGACGTAAATATAACGATTTGGTTTGGATAAGAATGACTTTCGCTCCCGTAGGTCGTAGTCACGTACTCCCTTTATAAAACTACGCCCGGTCCCTTTCTACTTTCTAGAGTAGCGACCAGCAGGACTCCAGGAGAGTAGGAGACTTGAAATTTGCAAGTCCATCAGGCGGCCGCTATGAACTTGTGAAGTTGGCCCACCCACTTTGTCCTAGAACTCTGAAATCAGCACCAAACGAAAGCAAATGATTTGAAAGTCTGTTTTTAGAATTTACAAGTTCCCCGCTAGTACGACCGCTATGAGCTTTGAAGTTTGGAAGTTGTCCCAGAACTTCGAAATAGATATCGAACGAAAGCTAATGATTAGCAAGTATTTGCGAATCCATTTTTAGGATTTGCAAGTAACTTGGGTGGCCAGTAAGAGGTTGTCAAAGTTGCGAAGTTAGTCCACCCAAGTTGTACTAAAACTTTGAAAATGGTACCGAACAATAGCTTTTAATTTGCAAGTCCCTACTTATATTTTGCAAGTCATTCAGGCTCTATGAAGTGGCCGCTTACATTTTAAGTTTTGCAGTTGTCATGTTTTATTCAAATTAGTTTCTTATTCTTATCAATATCAATAACACAATTCGTTTACAATTTAAATGTATGATTGTTTGTTGATGTGTTAAAAAAAAATTAAAGCACTGTCCAAGTTTTAGGGCAATATGGCACTATAATTGGCTCGACCAATCCAGGCTTTTTTGAAGGCTGTGTACGCTTATGGTATAAAGTATTCTTTATAAGTACACCCACTGTTTCTCAAAGACCTGAAACTTCTAAGTGGGTATCAAACGAAAGGTACCTACCCACCTAATGATTATAACAAACATTTGCAAGTCAGTATGGCGGTCACCGTTAGCTTTTGAATTTGGGAATTTCGGGCCAACTGTTTCGATCGAGAATTTTATAATTGGTTATCAAACAAAGCCAATAATTTAGAAGTAGTATACCTACTTATTTTAAATTTTTATTTTGGTGAAGACTTGTTTATTTGTTTTTAGTATAAACTAAACGTACTTATGTATAAATAAGTATAATAATACAGATTTTATGTTATTCAATTTATAGAACAAAAAAAGTTTGATAGAATCAACCTTTAGTTTATTATTACCTATTTTTAATTCTCAAGTCAAAATATATAACACATAATAAGTGTTGTAAGTTGTAATTTATAAAGTGACACATATTAACATAATAATTGTAAATTTGTTGAAGTTATTATAATGTTTTAATTATGATTTATACTATAGGAGTGAGCACCACATTTATTAAGCATATCAGAAAATTATTATAGGTAGGTACTTGATTTCATATTGCAATATTCGCAACCTTTAGCAACCTTCTTAAAAAATTTGGCAGACTCATGTTTTTTCTAACTTTATCATAAAAACAAGTTTGGGGGGCTAGTCCCTAGCATATTTCTTACCATTTCGGACTTAGGAAATATACTAACATGAATATGGATTGTCATGTTTATGTTTTGTAATTTTTATTCAAGTTCATATATTTATAGTTATTTTGTTGTACATGCAAAATATACACTATTTTTTGTTTCCAAACTTCTAAACGAATACATTTAACTACCTATTTAAGGTTGGTCCACACTCCACAATATTGTTTTTGTTCTTTGGGAAACAGTGAGCGTACTTATAATTTAATTATAATTATGGAATTAATTAAAAACATTATTCCATTGTCGTACACAGCTTTCAATTTCTGGTCGAGCCTGGAACAACTATATCGTATAGACTATATTCAATATCTATGAATCATTTTATATGCACTTTTTATTATCGCTATTTTATATTTCTATAATTCTATCCCAAATCCCAATCCCATGTAAACAGTAAACTATAACCATATTATGTTTATATAATTTATTAATATCACATATAGGTCATAGGATTAAATATACAAAATATAGGAAGACTGCCTACCAACAGTTTTTGCTTCCTTTGAATCTAAAAAAAAAAAAAATAAACATAATAAAAAACCTGTTTGAAAAAAAAAATTATAAACATGTATTTTTACATACCTACCAACCACATGCTTTATTACTTATAGGTATAATCTACTGCTTGTAATTCAAATGTATTTATAAGATAGGTATCTCTGAAAAACGGAGTTTGCAGTTTGTGCACCTACACCTACAGATTGGTGTGTAGTTACAATTTTTCTCCTTTGATATTATATGTATATAATTTTCAAGTAAACAATATAATAACTGGTGTTATGATTATTTTTTAAAGTAGGTACCTAATAATAAAGGTATCAACTAAAATCATGAATATTTTTTTTTGATTTACCTAAATTCCTTATTCAGTTTTACCTACTACGGCTACCTACTACTTTTTGAGCGCGTCCATTATTCAATATTACTGCAGAACTCTCTATGCTGCGCGTTCTATTAAGGACCTACTTTTTTAATTACGTTCCATAAAAAATAGCTATGAACAGTTGTATAGGTATTATGACGTTATTATAACCATATACCGTTTAATGTGCCTAATTACAATACAAAATTAAGGTTTTAAGAAAATATATAGGTACACGGAATACCATATACCTACCTATACTTCAAAAATAATAGTTCATTTATACATGGTATAGGTAGGTTAGTACCTTTGACCTATGTGGTTATGTAGGGAAGTAGTATATTATTATGTAGCTATATAGGTAAACGCAATTATTTAAGTAATAATATAATAACAACGTGATTTTGAATAGAAATGCTAATTAGTTTTTATG